CTCTACCCTTCCCAAAGATGACCAAAAAATGATGCAAATCATCTCCTCTGGCTAAGATTTAAGTTTCCAAACTGTACATCCTCATCAACTGCAGAGCTGGTTAAATGCAGATTCCCAGGCCCCGGCCCCAGTGTGTGGCAGTAGGTCTAGAGTCCAGGAATTAGCATCTTAACTGTCATCCCAGAGGCTCATGACGTTAGTGACCCATGTGGGCCACACGTTGAGAAACTCTGAGCCATTTACTGATCACATTTAAATTGTATACAGGAGTACATGTGCTTGCTGTGTGTGTGTGTGTGTGTGTGTATGCGAGAGAGAGTGTGTGTGTGTGTTTTCTCTGGGCATAATGAAATGTCAAGCAATTTTAGATATTTTTCCCTATGCTTTTCTGTATTTTAATTTTTTACAATGAGCTTATAATTTTTTATGAGCAGATAAAGCCGTCAAGACTTTCTCCTGGGCAGCAAAGAGCAGAAGTATTATCAATATGTAGAAAGTAGATGTGGGGCAAATGTGGACATAAAGACAAAAAGCCACAACTGTCAATAAACATTTTAACTCCTAGTGCCTGCAACCCTTCCTCTGTGACTCCAAACTCCTGAGCCGGCCACGGACAGCCTGGAGAAGAGAGGAATGCCCCGCCTCCCATTTTCAAGTGATCTGTTCATGGCACAGCACAGCTAAAGACACCGCTAGGAATTTGGGCTGGTGCGGCTGAGCCAGGGCCAGGTCTCCCTCCTTTCTGTCTCGGCCCCTGGAGTCCAAGCCTAGCCAGCTCCTGCTCCTCCACCCGACCCGGCACTCGGACACCCTGGCCAGCCAGGCAGAGCCAGGGATGGCGATTTTACAGCACTTTTATGACTCTATTCTTGCCCAGTAAACCCACACCGGGCCTCACAAACACTCTGTGAGAAGGCCAGGCCCTTCCAGAGAAATGGTTTCCTACACCTTTACAACGTGATAGGAAAAAAGGGGCCGTTGGATTTATGGAAACTATATAAAGTTTATGGAGTCTTGGCAGGCCAGAAGTAGAAAGAGTCTGCAGGATGGGGGATGGGCATCCCAAAGCGGAGAAGGCCATGAAAGAGCCGCAGACCTTCGTGTCAAGACACCAGTCAAAACGCTGGTGACCAGAGCAATGCTGGGGGACTCTGGGGTGGAGGAAACTGGCCTTGCTTGCGGCAGCGGCTGTGGGGTGCTTTCTGGGGTGATATCATTTCATCTCCATAGCATTCCTGTGAGGGAAGCATGGCCAACCTCATTCTGTGGAGGGGATACCAAGGCAAAGGTGTTTTGAAAATTGCAAATGTGCTCAAGCTCGCCCAGCCAGTGGTGCGTGGCGCTGAAGTGGATGTTCTGGGGCAGGCCTGAGTTCTCGCAGGCTCTCCTGTGTATTGAGCAATGCGTCCCAGTTTTAGGTCCGAATAACATGGTGTCCACACTCTGCTTCAGTTTGGGACTTGTCTGCTATTTGTAGTTGTCTCAGGGTCCCCTGGGGTCCTTCCATCAGCCCCGTCCCCCTCTGTGGGTTAGCTTTGCTATTGAAGCTGATTTGTGCTCAGGTCAGCCTGCTGGCTTTGGCTAGAACAGAAGTGAAGCCAACCCCAGAGGGGTTGGCTATGAATCAGGACAGAGTTAAAACAGAGGCTTTGCCTTTGGCCACCCCCCGCCTTGTTCCAGTTCTGCCAGCAGGTCCTCTTAGGGCCCTGCAGGAGAACCTCATGGGGTCTGAAGTCACCTTTTCCAGTTCCCATCAGCCTTCGGTGCTCTAATCCATTGCTCCTTGCATGTGCACCTTGTGACAGCCATGTTTTCTCTCTTTTACTTATTTGGCTGTGAATTTTTGAAGTGCAGATTCCATGAATGCGTAATTCTTCATCTCTGGTTTTGCCCAGAGAACCTATCATAATTTCCAGAATATGGCAATTACTGCATAAATATCAGCTGGGAGGACGAATAGATGATTGGATGGATGGATGGATGGATGGATGGATGGATGGATGGATGGACAGATGGATGGATGGATAGATGGATAAATGGATGGGTGGACAGATGGATGAATGGATGGATGGATAAATGGATGGGTGGATAGATGGATGGATGGATGGATGGATGGATGGATGGATGGATGGATGGGTAGGTGGATAGATGGATGGACGGATAGATGAGTTATGTGTAGACTGTCAGATACTCATCTCTCATTTATACCCTTGAGTGCAGTTAAACTGGCAACCTAACCTAGGTTCTCTGAGGCTTTTACTAAATGCACTTCTGTTTCAGGGGATATACTTTGTTCTCTCTGAAGCCATATGGAGAAACCAGCCTGAGTGTTTGAATGTGTGTGTAAATACTTTACGGTCCCCATAAACTTGTTTAAAGACAGGTGGGGGTAAAAGCATAAACTGGGACAGCCTTGTGGGAGGGCAATTTGGAAGTAGCTATTAAAATTTTTAATGTGCCTACCACTAAGACCCAGCAGTTCCACTTTTAGTTGTCATGGGCAAGAAATATATTCATCTATTTGTGCACAAAGAACCATGCACCAGGATGCTCATACAATGCTTATTTCTGCATTGCTCGAAACAGTGAAAAATGGGCAGTAGCCTTGATGTCCATCCATGGGGGGAACACCCAGACTCTGGAAAACACTGTAGCCATCAGAGAGATGAAGGTGGATCCATATTGCAAACTGGAGGATCTCTGATAGGGCTTGGGACAGACACTCTCCAGGCTTCCAGGAGTCTCCAAGACTCTGGTACTCACTGGTCTCAGCAGATGTCTCCTCCCAACCTCATTCCTATTAACTTATTTTCCTCCTCCCTTCCCTCTCACCCATGAAACACAGTTTACTGGAATTCTTTCTTTAATTCTTATGCCTACTAGCCAGTGACCCACCCTTCCAGAAAAGGAGGAAACAGAAAAGCAGTGATGTGCGTAGTTACTGTCCGCTGGTTCTTCAGTTCAAAAGATTGTAAGGTGTAATATTGAAACGTGATTTATGGGTGCCACATTCTACCACATAATGAGGCCAAGAGGAAAAAGGTCCCATTGTTTCAGAAAAGCATAGCCTTTGCTCTCCTGCAGGAGATAAATTGCCTCTTATTTTCTTATTGCTAAAGAAATGTGAAACAGTTTTAGGCATATGTGATATGGTCTTTCAATATGTTGAAATCCAGAACTGAGTGGTTGAGGAGACGTCTGGCTCAGATATTGAAGGAAGTTTCCTGGAGGCCCGGCAGCTCACAGCCGAGGAGGCTGCAACCTCGGGCCACCACACACCCTCACCCAGACGCTGGCACTGGGGCCTATCTCAGAAACACCCTCTGGGTGCTCGAGGGCCCAAGACAGCGACACAGAACTCAGGAGACAGCAGAAAAAGCACAGAATCCGGAGTTCCACCTTGACTGTTCATTAACTATTTGCCCCTCCGTTTCTTCATCTGTAAAACAGAAATGACAACCTTGCTATTAATTGTGTGACCTTGGACACGTTGCATCTCCCTGAGCACGATTGTCCCATCTGAAGGTCGTAGTAGCACCTGCCACAGAGGATGGTAGTAATGGTTAAATTAGTTAATCCTTGTAAATTACCTAGGTCAGTGCCTGCCACATAGTAAGTGCTCAGTACTTTTTAAAAAAATCGCTGTGTGACTATTGCAGACACCTTCGCCATGATTGGAATAGCTGGAATCCAAACTCAAGCTTTCCATTTCCAGGGTTCTGCCTGGTGTGGGGCTGGCAGACCTGGGTGGGGATTCCCAGCTCTGCCTCTCTTCAGCTGAGCAAGTCACTGGAACCTCTCTGAGCCGCATTCTGTTCAGCTGTAAAATAATAGTTTGTACTTTGCAGGGGGTGTTGTAAGGCAGTGGTCTCCAGCCTTTTTGGCACCAGGGACCAGTTTTGTGGAAGAGAATTTTTCCATGGGCAGGGTGGTGAGGGCGATGTTCTCATGCTCCTATGAAGATTTAATGCTTCTGCTGATCTGACAGGAGGTGGAGCTCCGGCCATCATGCTCGCTCCCCGCTGCTCACCACCTGCTGTGCTGACCAGTTCCTAACAGACGCGGACCAGTACTGCTCCCTGGCCTGCGGGTTGGGGACCCCTGTTGTAAGGTTTAAAGATGAATGGAAACAAAGTGTCCGGGACATAGTGAGTGCTTGGCGGATGGCAGTCACCCTTAACAGTGAAAGATCTTTGCTAAGAAGCCTCTTTGTGTAATGCTCTCCCCTGGGAGGAGTCCGTTCCTGGTTTATGTCCTTCTGGTTCACTTTGGCTCAGCAGCGTCTGCGGAACTCTTTATTCCTGGAGGTCGCAAAGTCTGCCCTGACTCTAGAAATAATAGCTACAAAGAAAAACCGCTGGCAGCCCCTGTGCCAGGGACTGTGTGGAGCTGGCTCTGCAGGAGCCTGGGTGTCCTTAGAGCAGCTTGGAGAGTGAGCTCCTTGTCCTCAGTGTGCAGATCAGACGTGAGGGTCGGGGTCTGGCCCGGGCACACAAAGCTGGGAGATGGCAGGGCTCAGAGTCTGATCTTGGGCTGTCCAATCCCTTTCACCAGACTGTGGCACATTCCAGAGCCCCTACCCAATTCCTAATTATTGACTCCACTCCACCTCGACCCTGACTGCCCTCTCCCATCTCCTCATGCCCATCACTGCCACTGGGTGGCTATGCAGTTCCATTACAGCCTCTTGTGGGGTTGATTTGTAGTTTTTTCATCAGTGCTTCTTAGCTCGAACTGTCAGATGTCTCAATGTTTGCATTGGGTTGTAGAGAACGTTTTGTTCTGTGTGTCTGAATCTGTGGGTTTACATAGATGCTCAGGGGTTGGGCTGGGGAGTATGGGTTCTGGGTGCCAACCCCTTCCAGAGAGTACTCTGTTCTTACATGGGACACCCTGGGGTTCTATCTGCCCTCCACCTAGAATCTCCCCTTGGGAAGGGGAAGGTGTGATTTTGCGTGTATTTCTTTTTCTCCCGGCTAATGGTGTTTCTTTGTTTTCAGTTGAGAGGGAAAATGTGCAGAAGAGGACCTTTACTCGCTGGATAAATCTACATCTAGAAAAGGTAATGGGGCACTTGGGTGTTTGCTAAGTGATTGATTCATCTGTAAGTGAATTTACAGTTTCAGAGGGTGGAGCGGGAGCTGGTGGCCTGTGCTCTTTTTGTTCTTCATTCATTTAAACGTTGATGAGTGCCTCCCCCTGCCGGTTACCAAGCTCAGGACTGGGGAGAGATGGCCGAGACAGCCTTTGCCCTCCTGGCATCATCAGTCTTGTCAGGGGAAGGAAAGAGAGGGTCTATCTTTAAGTACAAATCTGAGCAGGTGGTGGAAGACATTCATTATTGAACACACCAGCACCTGAAAATCAGGTGTTGTTGGGCCTGAAACGCATCTTGATTGCCAGAACTGGGCTCTGTGACGAGCCGAGAGCCATTTGTAGGTATTTGGATTGATTTTTGCAAGAACTCTGATTATCTTTGGACAAAGCTAGATTTCCTTCTAAAGTCACATCACGTTGCTATTTAATAATAATAATAGTAATAATAATATTACCTGGCTTTTTTGATGTACTTCACTCTGCATCAGGCATCCTGCATAGTGCCATACATGTGCCATGTCTCCTGTCATCCTCACGACGACTTGAATTACCCCCTCCTATCAGAAGGAGGAAACAGAGGCACGGAGACATAACGTGGCTTTCCTGGACTTTCTGTGGCTTCTCCTCTGTATTCAGCTTAGTGGCCCTTCTCTTCCTCTGTTTCTTTGTTTTCTTGCATTCTTTGACCTGGCTGTTTTGAGTTGCATTTTGTCTGCAGGCATCTCATGCACACTCTGTAAAACAAAAGCAGCTGAATCAGCTCCCCCCTTGAAAGAGACTAAAGGAAGAGCCACAGAGGAGAGGCAGTGATGGGAAGGGATGAAGAGTCCTGGGTGAGAAGGGGGATGGGAGCGGGCAGAAATCTCAGCCATCCTGGTGCCTGAGGTTGGATGGACCTCAAGACTATGGGCCTGGGGCTGGGAGAGGAGAGATGATTTTTCTCTTTTTTAGGAAGTTGATTTTTATCTACTCACTTCACCTCTTTCTCCTTAAGCACCACTATCTGGTTTTCCAGCTATACCAGCAAGTAGTCTCAATTCTGTTTAAAACTAGGAGCACCCCACTTTCATGTTTGTAGGTGTATCTTCTCTCTTCTCCTCTTAAAAGGTTCAAGAGAGGCCAGGTGCATTGGCTTATGCCTGTAACCCCAGTGCTTTGGGAGGCGGAGGCGGGTGGATCACTTGAGTTCAGGAGTTTGAGACCAGCCTGGCCAACATGGTGAAACCTCGTCTCTACTAAAAATACAAAAATTAGCTGGGCATGGTGGCACATGCCCATAGTCCCAGCTACTGGGGAGGCTGAGACTGGAGAATCGCTTGAACCCGGGAGGTGGAGTTTGCAGTGAGCTGAGATCGCACCACTGCACTCCAGCCTGGGCGGCACAGTGAGACCCTGTCTCAAAAAACAAAACAAAACAAAAGGTTCGAGAGTAACTATTGACTGCCCTTATGGTTAACACAAAAGAAAGGTTCTCAGAGGAAATCACTGAAATGATTAGAAAGCAGAGAAAATAAATGTGGCTTTTAGGAAGGGGAGCTATTGACCACAATTCTATTTCACATAGTTTACCTTTAGGTCTAGGATGTTGTCCAGGCAGGCATTCGGCCACCCACACCTCTACTCCCCACGTGTAGAACGTGTGACACAGTGCCACCACTTCACCTGGAGCATCCTGAACTCTACAGGTGAAAGATTGTGTCGCACATGAAGCTTATGAATCATCTGCCAGTTGTTTTGATTATTGGCACATTTTCGGCAATGCTGCTGAAGTGAAGTGTTATTTTGGGGGGGAGAAAAAGGAAAACCGGTCCCCAAACCTGAGATCACTGAGCTCTTAAATTAATGCCTGATGTGTGTCAGGGTAGCTGGAAATTCCTGCTGGGGGACACACTAGAGCCATGGAGTATTTCTTTCTTTCTTTTTTTAAAATTAAAATAAATAAATACAGAAAAGTACAGAGGGTCATGTGGCGAATATCCCCGCACCCACTCACCGCCCCAAATGAACCTCTGTTCGCATTTATCATATCAAGGATTTTCTCCCTGGCCAAGTTCCTGCCCCTGTCTCAGGGCAGGTGGGTAGCGCCCACTCTGAAGATAAATCAGATAGCACCTGAAACTGATGTCTAATAAACAGGGCAAAATTAACAGCCATGTTTCCAACCTTGAGACTTTCAAGAACAACCTTTCATGTAAAGGAAACCCAGGAACTCCTTGGTGAATTGGGCTTAACTGCAATTTGAAGGCTGTCAGAAATATTTACTGAGTCTCTGGCTTCTGGAAAAATTCCTTAATTTACCGAAGGAGTTAGATCATGAAGAAAGCCCTGGGGGTGCTGTTTATTCGGCCATACCGATCTCATGAAGCCCACGGAGCGTTTGGGGCCCAAGGAGTGTTTTCCCTGGCGCGGGTTCAATTTCTCCCCCTGCCATCTCACAGGATGGACTCCGGCCAAGGCCTTGTTTGCTGCTGCTGCTGCTGAGGCTCTTACAGGAACTGTCAATGGAAATTATTCTTCAGGTTTAACTCAGAAGTAAGGCTTGGCCACGGCCAGGGCTGGTAACTGGAAATTTTGTTAGTCCATTTATCAGGGGGTATTTTGTTCGGGTCTCGCGTTTTCTGCCTCGCATTAACAGGAATAACATTTCCGTAAGAGCCTTAGTAACCTGATCCCGTCATGCTCAGGGTGGAATGTGCCCAAGGAGCTGCAGCAGTTTGCAAAGAAAATAATTTGCCTTTTGGTTCAAAGTCACTGTTGCCCTTGAAGCGAAGCCTTTTTCTATGCACCTGCGGGTGGAATTGCCCTGTATTTTGACTAACTGGGGGTAAAGGGACTCGTATAAAGGGTAAGGAAATGCCACCTTCCTCCATAAAAAATGAAACACAGGCCCTCCATGGCTGCCACGGGAAGGAGGCTTTCCCACAGGGAAAGGGTGGCTGGGCCACAGTTCCACTGTTTCCTGCCCCTGGGTCTCTGGCTGGTTATGGCTACCACCCTCCCATTGGCCTCAGGAGCTCCACGCCCCATTAATCCTGTCTCCCATGTGAGTGCCTAGCCTTCCCCTGTACCCAGGAGCAGAGAGAGCACCCAGACCAGCTGCTCTAACCTTGCCAAAGCCCCCAGTACAAAAAGGTAAACAGGGAATTCATGCTGGGGTGGGAGCTTATTAAGAATCAGGTTTCGGCTGGGCATGGTGGCTCATGCTTGTAATCCCAGCCCTTTGGGAGGCCAAGGCAGGAGGATATCACATGAGCCCAGGAATTTGAGACCAGGCTGGGCAACACAGAGAGACTCCATCTCTACAAAGGGTTTTAAAAATTAACCGGATGTGATGGCACATGCCTGTAGTTCCAACTATTTAAGAGGCTGGGATGGGAAGATCACTTGAGCTGAGGGTTTGAGACTGCAGTGAACTGTGATCATGCCACTGCACTCCAGCCTGGGCCACAGAGCAAGATATCATCTCAAAAAAAAATTAAAAAAAAAGAAGAAGATTCTAGAAGAAGAAGAAAAATGCAAGTTTCTGGACCCTGCTCCCAGAGATTCTGTTACAATTAAGAGGAGTTATTATCAAGCTTGTTTAGACAGTAGAAATCTTTCTTCAAGCAAAGCGTTACCTAGAACCGTAAACGGAGTCATCCTTCCTCCTCCGGGGTTCCACCTCTGTGGGTTCAACCAACAGCAGATAAATAATATTCAGAAAAAAAAACTGCATCTGTACTGCATATGTACAGAGTTGCTTCTTGTCATTACTCCCTAAACAATAGAGTATAACAACTATTTACATCACATTTACACTGAATTAGGTATTATAAGTAATCTAGAGGTGATTTTAAGTATATATGGGAGGATGTGCATAGATTATATACAAATACTTTACTATTATATATCAGGGACTTGAGCATCTGCAGATGTTGGTACCCGAGGGAAGTCCTGGAACCGATCCCGTATAGATACTGAGGGCTGACTGTACAGGCCAATAAGAGCTGAGCCTCTCTGATTAAAGCGGGTGCAATGGGATCAGCTGCCTCCTCCACCCCCCTCTCTCCTATAGGATATCCTAAAGCTGCTCTGCTGAAGTCTAAGGTTCCAGGGAACAGAGTTTGCAAATCCTCACACTGGAGCATCTAACCCACAAGTTCCAGCCAGTTCTTTCGGCCATGTCCAGCCAAGCTCCTAGTGGATACCACCTGGACAGCAGACCCCTTCCAGGTCTAGGCCCAGAGAGGAAAGCCCAGGGGGCTTCTGTCTGTTTCCTTCCCAGGCCCCCCTCCACACTCCAGATCCTGTTTAGGGAATTGCGTTTTCCCTTAGAGAGAAGGAAGTAGTCTATGGGAACTGAGGCTGGGGCTTCTGTTTACTGACCCAGGGAACCCAGAAAGTGAGCGAGTGGGGCAGAGAGAAGGTGTTTCAAGAGCCGTTCACTACGAAGGGGCCGCCAACTGAGGACATCTCCTTTCCACTGATGGCCACAAGGCATACGCCTTCTGAATGAAATGTCTTCCTGAGGAGGGCATCCAAGGCTCTGCAGGCAGGAAGCCACTTAGCAGTCAGCAGGTGGTACTGGGCTGGGCAGGTGGGTGCTGTGCCAGGCTCCCTACCTGCATGATCTCACTGCATTCCAGCCCAGCCCTCTGACGAGGGCCAGATTCCTCACCTGACATTGCAGACAAATACACTGTCTTTGTGTAAGTGTGCAAGGTCAGGTTAGGCCCTGGGAGGTTAAAGAACATGCCCAAGGCCAAGTTGCTGTCAAGGTAGAACTTGGCTTTGAACGCAGGTGTGTCTAATGGCCTTGCTTCTCATTGGCTCATGTGAGAGGTGCAATGTTGATGTATCTCAGGAAGTTGGATTTTGTGGAGGAATAGAGGAGTAGCGTGCAGCCTTTTTTTTTTTTTTTTTGGTACAACTTCAATGAGTTTGATGTGTAATAATGAGCTTGAATTGCTTTTGTACCTAAACATATAAATACACATACACATACATATGGACATGTAAATCGACCTCTGAACCTTTGAGTTCCTAGTGAGCCTACACATGTGGGGTGAGGAAAGGATCCTTCCCTTCACCCAACCGTCGAGCCATTCAGCAGGTCAGCTGCATCCTGCCAGCCGTGTGCCCTCCTAGCCAGTTCTCACACACCAGCCCCCTTTCCTGGCTTCCCCTGGTAAGGGTCCCACCACCACCAAATTTGGTCTAAATCTTGGTGAAGTGATGATGGGCACCTCAGGAGGGCACACTTTTGAAGACTAAAGCAGTCTTGGAGATGGAGGAGCCTGACTGACACCGGACTGAAGCCTGGAGAGTAACTGGCCAGGGTCTTGTCATTGCCATGTGGATCTAGGGTGCGCTAGCGTTCGGCCCTTGTGGCTGGATACAGGAAACAGGACAATACCGAACAGCTAGCTTGACCAAATGCTGCAACTATCACTCATCCTCTTTGAACCCGTTTTTCCCAGTCTAAAGTGAAGGGCGGCCAGGCGCAGTGGCTCATGCCTGTAATCCCAGCACTTTGGGAGGCCGAGGTGGGCAGATCACCTGAGGTCAGGAATTGGAGACCAGCCTGGCCAACATGGTGAAACCCCGTCTCTACTAAAACTACAAAAATTAGCTGGGCATGGTGGCAGGTGCCTGTAATCCCAGCTCCTCAGGAGGCTGAGGCAGGAGAATCACCTGAACCCGGGAGGCGGAGGTTGCAGTGAGCCGAAATCGTGCCACTGCACTCCTAAGCCTGGGTGACAGAGCGTGATTCAGTCTCAAAAAAAAAACAAAAAAACAAAAAAACAAATGAATAAATAAAATAAAATGAAGGGCTTGCACTAGGTAATTTCACATGAGCCCTCATAGAATTGTTTTATTCTACAGAAGGATATAGTCAAGATATGCCATTTCTTTCTGCCCTTAAGCATGTGGATGTGATCTAAACTTGGGATCTGAGATCTTTGGTTTGAAGGGTCCCCAAGGGTCACTTGTTTGATCAGCCGCCTGTGGGTGAATCTTCTCTGCAGCCTTCCTGCCAAGTGGCTGTGCCCTGCTGCCCGGGTGTCACCTCCATGGGGATGGGCCTGCTACCTCCTTGGATGGGCGTTTCTACCTGTAAACAGAGCTGGATGTTTGGAAGTTTTTTCTTGAGCAGAAAGCTGCATCTCTGAAAATAGCTTTGTGGATACACAGGTTGCTAATTGGCTACTTTCTTCCCTTCTCTTTCAAAGTGCAACCCACCTCTAGAAGTTAAAGATTTATTCGTCGATATACAAGATGGCAAAATCCTAATGGCTTTGTTAGAAGTCCTGTCTGGGCGGAATCTGGTACGTATGTTACAGCAGGGTCAGAAAGAAAGAAAATGCAAAGGAAAACGCTGTTGAGGTTTTCTTTTCAACACAAATACCTGGACATACCCTACACTAAGAAACTCTGAAGCGGTGACTCTTTTTATTAGTGCCTACGAGCCATATAATCATGTGGAACGAACTAGTACTTTTTTTTAAAGTCAGTGTATTTTAGAAAATAAATGCCTAGTGTTTTCGGTGAGTCTGTTAAGGCTTAAGTTTAGAACTAAACAGTTAAAATTTAGCCAGCCAGCCATTATATAAACTAGAATGATCGCTAAGAATTGGAAAAATTGGAAGAAAAAGGCCTTTTATCAACCACCCTAAGGCTAAAACTGGAACTGCTGGCTTCTAGAACATTCTTTTAAGTATGATTGAAGTTGAGCCAACTGGTCTTGACGTTCATTCCACTTTGGACATTAGCCAGACTTCTCCGTGTTGCATCCGTCTGCTGTGTGCAGATTGGCCCTTGTTCTCTTCACAGACAGCAGAGTTTCTCAGCCTTGGCACTGTTGACATTTGGGTCAGATAGTTTCTTGTTGTGGGAAGATGTCCTGTACATTACAGGACATTTAGTGTCTGACTGCTAAATAACAGTATCACCCCCATGTGTGACAGCTAACAAGCTCCCAGACATGATGAAATGTTCCCTGAGGGGGCAAACTGATCCAGCCTAGAATGGTAGAAGTGTCAGGGTTGAGAAAGCCTGTTCCAGAGTCCAGTGTTTGATTTGGCCTTGGCAACCCATTGTACCTAACACAAAGGTGCAGCAATGGGGTCACGACTCTACCAAACCATAGCTCAGCCAGCACAGAATGTCCTGGGTCTGTCCTTAACTGTAGGTCTAAAGTCAAGAGTCCCTGCTTCTCTTCTCAGATATAATGTAGCTGGTATCTTATCAGACCTCTTAACCCTCCCACCTTTGCTTTCCCAGTGGCAAAACACAAGATACCTATTAGCAGTGCCCACAGAGGGCTATGCAATATTATGTGATGAATTCTCCACAGTATTTGGTTTCTTAGAGGGTCTCGCCATGAGCAGGGTCCCCAAAGGACTTCCTGAAAAAGTACCTTCTAGTCCCTTGTTTATGCTCCCAGCAACGCAGGCTCCCCACTTTATTGCCAGAGCCCTGGTCACCAGCTACTGTGTCCTTGGTGGGCCTCCACGGGGAGTCTTTGATTCTGGAGCCCAGCCAAGAACAGTCCTCCACTTCCCCATGAGTGTGGCCTGGTACTTCACACCTGGTAGAACTGACCCACTGGTCTTCCCCCAACCTGGAGGAGCATCGATGCGGTTCAGTTCAGGGTGAGTTGGCTGTGATGGCATTCCTGGTATGTAGAGCTAATGTTGTCAGAGTTTTAGCTTCCGCAGACGTCTCTCTGCCTCTTTCTCTCTTTCGACCTGGGATAACTGTCCACAAAACTCTTGGCTAGAAAACAGAAACATCTGCCGCCACTAGGGAGGACCTTGGCTGGATGATTTAGCAGCTGAGCAGTGATGCTGGCAGCCAATGCTCCCTGTCCTAACACAAGCAGCAGTTCAGGGAAGCGAACATATTAACGAGGGTCTCAGGAGAAGGGAGGAATCTAACAAGCCAGGAGCTGGGTCCCAGAGAAAAAATTGACAAATTTGTCCCTTGTTGACCCACTTCGGTTCCCCCTAACTCACCAACTTCAGTGAGTTAAATCCCAAGTACTGTAAATAAGACTGACCTTTGAGAGCTCTCTGATGTCACATTTGTATGTCCTGAGAGGCACCTGTGTGAGTTTGGATGCATTCCAGGTGGGTTTTAGTTGTGAGCTTTTTCTTGAAATTGATGTGAAAAAAGCAAAGCACACCGAGCGGCACCGCTGGGCATTGTGAAGTGCCTGCGTGGGTTTAATGTGCTTGTTTTGTTCTGTTCTGTTTTATAGCTGCATGAATACAAATCCTCGTCGCATCGCATTTTTCGGTTGAACAACATAGCGAAAGCACTTAAGTTTTTGGAAGATAGCAATGTAAGTGTTTGAAGCACATCCTGCTAACACAAGCTTGTCCTGTTAGGAAAAGGATGTCATTTGAAGTTCAGTGCTGGTCGCAAGAGAAGCGTGAGATGGGGACTGATCTAAAATGGTCAGATTAAACTAAGCTTAAATTTCACAGAAATCACTCAGATGACCCCTCCGTTGGGAACGCAGTCCCTAACTCCGTGCCCACCCACTTTACAGCCATCAGGATTAAAACTCTGATGGACGTTCAGTCGCAGAGAGGCAGAGCGGCTGACTGGCTCTCAGATATTTATAACTTAGTTCACGTTTTCCCTTCATTCCCTTGAATAAGAGTATAGTGAGCATGTCCGAGTGTAAAACTTTCTCTTGGAACTTAGAATATGGGAGAAAAAGGGGAAGAGGGGGGCTAAATGAGCCAGGGGGAAAAAAGGTATAAAATTCTCCCTATCTTGATGTAACTTTCTCGACTCCGATGAGCTTTTTCTGTGCCTGGAACTCTGCTCCACGTTCTTCACACGCGGGTAGGGGTGGCTCAGCAGGGAGGACGTTTCATCGCGCCTCAGAGCACAGTTTTATGCCCATGTCAGAGATGGCTGCCCCGCAGGACCAGCTCTGTGACTTGCAAGTTATTCAACTTCTCTAAGCCTGAGCTTCCTCATCTCTGAAATGGGCATATTGTGAACACTAAAGGAACTGACCTGTGAAAAGCACTCTCCATTCTCGGGATGGCCGTTATCACTCAGCAGGCCCCTGAGTTATCACCCGACATGTGATAACTAGGTGTGATACCACCTTCTCCCAGCCGAGGAGGGAGAGGGGATATTTCCATAAACCAGTTGGTCCCGCTTGTTTTCAGTCTGGCAAAACCAGCTGAGTTAGGAGGAACAAGAGGAGGAAAACATTGTCCCTGAAGCTCTTAACTGAAGTCTGGCTGTTAACTTTTTTATTCACCACCAAAAACAAAATGGCGGCTGGGCACCCAAGCCACGGTCTTTGGAAATATCTGCTCTCTGGGACCTTGTACCGCCTGCAATCACTGCTTTCCCTCAGCCCAGTTCTCTGAGGGAACTAGGCACCTCAGGAGGGTTTTGTTCTCTAAATGGCCCTCCCAAGAGCCAGCGGCTCCCTGCTCAGCCCTGCCCTTCCCCTGTTGGGATGGTGCACCATGGTATTTATGGCATCCCTACGAGGCAGCTCTGTCTCCTCACTTTGAAACCTCAGCTTAGAGGGCCACAGCTGTCACTTGCCATTTGGGCTTCCCCCAGGTGAAAGGGAAGGTGGGGGTGATCAAGTTGACTAGCAGCTTTGGTTCCCCTGGACTGGAATGTGCTCAGTAAAGCCACAGAAACAGAAGGAGCTGTCAGAGCAGAGGCTTAGAAGAGGAGCAGGCGAGTTCTCATGGGTGATCCATCATGCAGGACGTGTGCTCGTGATGAATGTGGACACAGTATTGAACCTGAATTTGATCGACTGTGTTATTCACAGTATTGACAGCTTCCTTCCTGGCCTCCGACCTGCCAGTGATGAGCCTGTGTTGTCTGAATTATATTCTTGGCATCTGCCCTCAAAACAGGCTGCAGCTAGGGAACCCAGAACTCTCCCTCGATTAGGCAAGCCCAGGCCTAACTGATTGGTGTTGTCGGAAACCCATGACGAACTCAGGATCAGAGACCCATGTCAGACAGGTTAAAAAGCCTTGAGGGGAAGAGAGAGAGAAAAGAAACAGAGGAAAAAGAAAAAGGTTTTGTATGAGATGCTTTTTTCAGGTTCTCTTTCCCCAGTCTGCCAGGCAGAATTTTGCAGTGTGGACCTGATAGTGTATCTTGACTTTATTTCTCCTCTCTTTCTCCTGAAGAATGACTTTTGCTTTATTAACGTTGTTAAGAAAGAAGAAAAAAATGTGACAAACACCAGTGTTGCCTGCAAAGGCTTAAATATTTACTCTCTGGCCCTTTTTAGAGAGGTCTGCAGAGCCCCAATCTGTGTCCAGTGCTTAGATTTTGTTTGTGGAATGAACTGATGACTTAGGGCAGTGATCCTCAAACCCGAGCATGCGCTGGAATCACCTGGTGCACTTGTTAAAATGCAGATTTCTGGGCCCACCCACAGAGTGTTTGATTCTGTAGGCATAGGGGAGAATGAGCATTTCTAACACAGGGGTCCCAAGTGATGCAGATGCTGCTGGTCCAGATGCCAGGTTGGCCTCAGGGATTTACCAAGAGCATCATTCTGTGGTCAGAACATAGTTAAATACATAGATAAGACCTTAGCTAAGTGTTTCTGCAAGAGGCACATTTCAGCTCATCAGTGGGATATTTTCTAATGGTACAGAAACCCTGGGTATAAACCTTATCCCAGTATACTATTTCTAATTAGCAGTCAACTCACCCACCCACCATCCATGATTGCGCATGTCGGTGCTCTGTATTTGTTCCAAGGACATGCTAAATCCAGGTGTGGTGGTGTTTGTGTAGCAGACAGACCTACCGGACATTTTCCGTCTCTCTTGGAAAAGAATGACTGAAACCTTACCAGCTGTGTGATGCTGGGCATGTTATATTTCACCTCTCTGAAATTCCCTCACCTGAACTGGAGGGACAATAGAAGTACCTACTGATATGGTCTGGCTGTGTCCCCACCCAAATCTCACCTTGAATTGTAGCTCCCATAATTCCCTAGTGTCGTGGAAGAGACCTGGTGGGAGGTCATTGAATCAGGGGAGCAGGTCTTCCCCATGCTGTTCTCATAATAGTGAATAAGCCTCCTGAGATCTGATGGTTTTATAAAGGGGAGTTCCCCTGCACACGTTCTCTTGCCTGCCGCCATGTGAGATGTGTCTTGCTTCCCCTTCACCCTCCGCCATGAGTGTGAGGCTTCCCCAACCATGTGGGGAGTCCATTAAACCCCTTTCCTTTGATAAATTACTCAGTCTCAGGTAGTATCTTTGCAGCAATGTGAGAACGGACTAATACACCTACATCATAGGTTTATTGTGAGTATAAAATGAGTTAATATTTGTAAGGAGTTTAGAATAGAGGCTACACATGGTAAGTGCTATGTATGTGTTAATTAAATACACTTTTGCACGCTGAGTGTCCTTGAGAATGGCAGGGTAAGTAAGAAAAACAGGCTTATGCAAGCACACACACACAGAGAACCAGAAAATAACATGTGTTATCCTCCCTGGACACCCCCCTTTCAGTTCATAAATTGCTTCCCTCCAGGTAAAACTGGTTAGCATCGATGCAGCAGAAATAGCAGATGGCAACCCTTCTTTGGTTCTTGGGCTGATATGGAACATAATCCTCTTCTTCCAGGTAAGATCATTTCCTTTCCAAAACACGCAATCATGATCTTGTCTGCTGAGCGCCGCAGAAGAGAGGGGCGAGATCGAAGGAGGCAGTGAGGCTTAGTTTATGGCAGATTTTATCTTTTCTACTCACTGAAAAAGCACCAGAAGAATCTGGTTGCTTCAATCCCTGTGATTTTAAAAGTGGTGTGAGTTCTCTAGAAGAGAATAGCCATCCTCTTGGGACTGGAAGAGTTAAATATTTACTTCAAAAAATGACTTTGTTCTAAAGTGTTGCAAGAACTAGGGAAATACTCCTGACCAAAAATGGAACTTGGTAGAGTTACTTTGCTGAAATCACTCAGTGTTCCTTAGAGATGATTAAAGAGCTTGTACTAAAGATGCCTGAGGAAGAAGAATAACAGGCGAGAGCTTATTGTTCCGTTCTTTGCAACTTCAGCCTCTAATTGGAAATGCAGATTTTATAGAGGAAGAACTGGATCTGTGATTGGAGTAAGAAGATGACATTTTATTTTTATTTTATTTTTTATTATTAAACTTTAAGTTCCAGGGTACATGTGCAGAACGTGCAGGTTTGCTACATAGGTATACACGTGCCATGGTGGTTTGCTGCACCCATCATCCCATCAGAAGATAACATTTTAAACTGTGCTGAAGTTCATTTCCCTGTCAGGAGAGAGCTGGTATCTCGTTTTCTAGAGCCCACTCACTTTTGGAATAGAAACTCGTGGTTCACTGTTCGATTATCTTCCCAAGAGTGAAAGTGATCCACCTGGGCATGATTTGTTTGGGATTTTGGCTCAATGCCTGCATTTCAGAGAAGCATGAGCACAAACAAGGTCTGGAGACAGTAGTTCCTGTTCTGGGTGAACCCTGAACTTAAAAAAAAAAAAGACCCTCTCTCTCTCTGAGCCTCAGTTTCTGTGTCTGTGAAATGGGAGCAGTGGTCATAATAGGTAGTGAGCATCAAAAGAAGCCATGTGGGCCGGGCACAGTGGCTCACGCCTGCAATCTCAGAACTTTGGGAGGCCATGGCAGCAGAGTCACTTGAGCCCAGGAGTTCAACATCAGCCCTGGAAACAGAGCAAGACCCCATCTCTACAAAACATGAAATTAGCCAGGCATAGTGGTGTGTGCCTGTAGTCCCAGCTGCTTGGAAGGCTGAGTTTGGAGAATTACTTGAGCCTGAGAGTTCAAGGCTATAGTGAGACATGATCATGCCACTGCACTCCAGCCTGGGCAACAGAATGAGATCCTGTCTCAAAAAAAAAAAAAAAAAAAGAGAAAAAAAAAAAAAAGAAGAAGAAAGAAGAAGAAGCAGAAGAAGCAGCCACCTTGTGTTATATGTGTGCTTCAATTACTGCTATCTGTTATTAAACTTCCTCAGAGATTCTGGAAACATCCTGAAGATGTAGTAAAAGTCAAGAACTTAAATCCACCGCCCTAGGGCTTCATTTATTTATTTAACAAATGTCTATTGAGTTTCTCCAAGGTGCCAGGTGCTGAAAGTAAAAGGCCCTGCCCTCATGACCCTTTGGGATCACAGACGAGTCAATCCTATATGGCAGAAGGTGATGCTAGAGCTCGCAGCAGGGGCAGCTAGCTCAGATGGGGGAGTGGAGTAAGCAAAACTTCCTGGAAGAAGTGACACCAGAGCTGGGTTTTGAAGGATGAGTAGGAGTACGCTAGATTTCCTACTCATCCTTCAAACTAAGTTAGACTTAACCTACTGTGTGTGTGAATTGCCTGAGAGTGGTATTAAAACAGATTCTGATTCTAACAGCTCTGGTGTAGAGCCTAGGGTTCGGCATATCTTATAGAAGTCCTCATGAGAGGAGTTCACGGAGGGAAGGGACATGGAGGCAGCAAGGGCAGGATGAGCAGAGGCAGTGGGGCTTGAAAGAGCTCCGTGAAGTCTGGGAGTGATGGGCAGTGAGAGGAAAGGGGTGGTCGAGTTGAGTCAGGAAGACCTGGTACGAAGTGCTGGCTGGAGCTGCAAAGACTCCAGAAAAAGATAGTCCTCCCTGTATAGTGTAATTACGGGCACCACAAGCCACAGGAAATGGACACGCCATCGCAAGTACTGCCTGTCCCCTGCCACAGCCATCAGAAAAGGTTTCTCGGCATTCAGAGAACCAATTCTGCATGAGCGGTTCCCTCCAGCCACGGTTCATGTGGCCACCCGCCAGACAAGGTGGGTCTGTTGCTGAGAGGGTGGGTCTGTTGCTGGGGTCTGAAATGCCATTTTCCTTCCAGATTAAGGAGCTCACAGGCAACCTCAGCAGAAACTCTCCATCTTCCAGCTTGTCCCCTGGCTCAGGGGGCACAGACTCAGACTCATCCTTCCCACCCACACCCACTGCAGAGAGGAGCGTGGCAATATCCGTGAAAGACCAGAGGAAGGCCATCAAAGCCCTGTTGGCGTGGGTGCAGAGGAAAACGAGAAAGTAAGCTGCAGCCCCTCTCCCCGCGCCACTTCATTTAACTAGCTGCTTTCAGGCAGAAGAAAGAACTAGTATGTATTAAGGTGCCAGTTATGTATGTGCCCGTTGCTTCATATAGAATATCAGAACAAGGGGGACAGTCGCGGTGGCTCACACCTGTAATCCTAGCACTTTGGGAGGCTGAGGCGAGTGTATCACCAGGTCAGGAGATCAAGACCATGCTGGCTAACACGGTGAAACCCTGTCTCTACTAAAAATACAAAAAATTAGCCAGGCGTGGTGACGGGCGCCTGTAGTCCCAGCTACTCGGGTGGCTGAGGCAGGAGAATGGCGTGAACCCGGGAGGCGGGGCTTGCGGTGAGCTGAGATTGCGCCACTGCACTCCAGCCTGGGCGACAGGGCGAGACTCCGTCTCAAAAATAAATAAATAAATAAATATCAGAACAGGAAGCACTGCATTTTTTGGGTTTTGCAGTACACACAAAATGCAGTTGGCAGAATGTTTGGTTTGCATAAAGCTGATGAGAAGATTTGAATACAGATCAGAGGGACTTTCATCATGTTGTCTCCCAAAACGGGCATGTCTCTTGGATTCTAATGACTTGTATGCATTTAAGCTTCAGGGTGTCTTCCAGAGTCTGTACCTACTTTAAAGATAGTAATAATAAAGGCTGTAACATACTCAAAGTTAGGTCGGATCTTCCAAAATCGAGACGGGAACTGGAGCCAAGTTCTGGCCCTGAGTCACCCCACGCCAGCGGCAGAGTGATTTGAGCAGTTTTGTATCAGGCCTTTTTACCAGTAGCAGCCCACAGCCCCTGGGCCATGGGCACACATGCCAGACCAGTGTGGTGGAAACCTAACCAACTTGGGGCTGCCCCAGCTCCTCAACATGCAGACTGGTAGAGATCCTGGTAAATCATTTACTTTTCCAAGCCCCAACTGCAAGTGGTATCCTATCACTCACTGCCTTCCAGGACAATTAGGCGAAATCCATGAAATCCATGAAAGAGCACCTTGCACAGTGCCAGCCCATATTAAGCACGTCACAAATATTGATTCCTTTCTCCCCTATGTGTGGAAATAAAAGAGGGAAGAGAGGCTGGACCTTTAGAGTTTTGATGGAGAGATCACACGGGGTAGATTGAAACTGACAAATGTGAACCACCATTAAATGTTGTTTACATACAAACCAACCAAAAAAGGGTTCATTGTCAGGGGTTAGGGTAGAAGGAGGATGTGACTGTAAGGGAGAGGAAGTGTCTTGGGGTGATGGGACAGTTCTGTTTCTCTGTTGTGGTGGTTACATTAATCTGTACACCACCCCCATGAAAATTAACACCTGTGAAAATGTGAAATTCAGATGCAGTCTATAGCTTAATTAATAATTATCTTGGATCAATGTTGGTGTTCTGGTTTGGATAACATACCCTGGTAGCATAAGATGCTGTCACTGGAGAAAGCTGGGGAAGGAACAGTGACTCTCTGTACTGTGTTTGCAATTTCTTTTAGGTCTTAAATAATTTCTAAATAAAAAGGTGCTTGGGTTTTTGTTGTTGTTGTTGTTGTTGTTGTTGTTTTAAGAGAGTTCATTGACCACGGTTGAGGGATTGGTGGAGTCACAGGATGGATTCTAAAGGAAATTAGTGCCTGGCAGGATTCTCTCCTCTTTTGTCCTTCACTTTTACTTTTAAAAATTGAGGCAGCCTCCATTTTACAAAATAGAATGAAAGCTCTCTGCCCCCACTTTTACAATGATGCTTTTATTTCTGTTACTGATAATAGTAGCTGTCATTTAGTGAGTGGCTTTCTTGGGCTCCCAACGTTGCATATTAGGTTGACCCTATGACATGGCCATTCTTCTGGGGCCAGGCTTGACTTTCCCCACAGAAGCCCCAGCAAGTTCACTGTGTGGAGTTTGAGGCTCAGAGAGCTCATTGACTTGCCCAAGGCCATGGCACTAGAAGCACAGGGGACAGCTGAGGCACAAACTTGTGTCTTTCCGGTTCCATTTTTATGGCCCAGCACGTCCTTGTTATGTTTTCAATGTCACCGATACAAGGAATGGTCTATACAGTTGGTCCTTTATGTGTCTGGGAATTGAGGAATCCAGGGTCCTGTTTCGCCTCTTTGTTCGATGTATACCGTCCTACTCCATTTGGCTGGAAATGGAAATGTGAGTGGTTCAGGGCAGCTCTCCCACGCTCAGGGACCAAGGCATCTTCACCTGGCGAGGTCGGCAGCTCTGCCCCACTCAGAAACCCACGCGGCTGCAGCGTGCTGACCTTGTTCCTTTGAGTCTGTTTCCTAACCAGCAACCCGGCTGCCGCTGCTGTGTCTCCTTCAGGTATGGCGTGGCGGTGCAGGACTTTGCGGGCAGCTGGAGGAGTGGGCTGGCTTTCCTGGCCGTGATTAAGGCCATTGACCCCAGCCTAGTGGACATGAAACAGGCGCTGGAAAATTCCACACGAGAAAATCTGGAGAAGGCCTTCAGCATCGCACAGGATGCCCTGCACATCCCCAGGCTCCTGGAGCCAGAAGGTAGCAGTGGTTCTCTCTTTCTTTCTAATAATTTTTTTTTACAAATGTACCACTTGCCGTCCCATGTAGAAAATCTGGAAAATACAGAAAAATCTAATGAAGATTTTGTCTCCTGTATTTCTACCACTCATCATATGGATATTTTTCCAATATTTTATATGCCTCTAATTGTATTTTTACATATTTGGTATCATTTACTGTATGTATAATTTTGTGCTTTTTTATTTAACATTATGTCATAAGTATTTTACATACTGCTACAATGTATTATTATATATTTTTATTGGCTGCATAATAGTTCATCTAGTGGGCATAGTAAAATGTACTTAGTGGCCAGGCGTGGTGGCTCACGCATGTAATCCCAGCACTTTGGGAGGCCGAGGCGGGTGGATCACCTGAGCTCAGGAGTTCGAGACCAGCCTGGCCAACATAGTGAAACCCCATCTCTACTAATAATACAAAAATTAGCTGGGCGTGGTAGCACAGTTTGTAATGTAATCCCAGCTACTCAGGAGGCTGAGGCAGGAGAATCGCTTGAGCCCAGGAGGCAGAGGTTGCAGTGAGCTGAGATCGTGCCATTGCACTCTGGCCTGGGTGACAGAGCCAGACTGTCTCCAAAAAAAAAAAAAAAGTACTTAGCTCTTTCACTATTGGTAGACATTTAGGTTGTTTCTGAAATATTTCCTTTTATATGTAACAACATCACAGTGAACATCTTACTAAATAAAGCTCGATGTGCATCCCAGATTATTTCCTTAAGGACCAGGTTTCGTTAGCAGAATGACAGAGAAGAGTCCATGCCTGTTTAAATGGTTTGGCTGTCTCTGTGAAGTTGCCTTCCGCGTAGGTTAGGCTAACGTGGGACTCCCTGTACCATATGTAGTCTGCCTGGTTCACCGTCCTTGCCCATGGAACCAGCAGTGAGCTGGCTGCTCGCTGTGGAAGGGACTAAAACAGCAAGGAAGAAGGGACAGAATTTGGGGAATAAGAAGCCCTAGATTCTATATCCTTGCTTCTCTGTTCTTCAGCCAGCTGTGAGATTTCAGTCAAATGATTCACCCTCTTTGAGCCTAAAGTTCCTCAAGTGACAAATAAAGAGAAAAAACCCTCAATGATCTTTGGGATTCTTCCCCATCAGGCATCCGGGAATACTATTGAAAGCGTATGTGTTTGTATCTCCTGCTAATTCCTGTGTCTCTCTCGACAGACATCATGGTTGACACACCGGATGAGCAGTCTATCGTGACTTACGTGGCACAGTTTCTAGAACGTTTTCCAGAGTTGGAAGCCGTATGTTTGCTTTTCTTACCTTTAATTCAGACACCATACATTTCCATCTGCTGGCCATCAGACAAAGCAGGGACGTGGGCAGCGTTGCTCTGTATAAGTAGCAGTCAAAATCGCCAGTTGCTCCCAAGTCCCTTGAGCACGGCCTTACCACATTTTAATTTCAGAATGATAGCAGTCCCCCCTCATATGCAGGGGATACAGTTCAAGACCCCCAGTCAATGCTTGAAACCTTGGATAGCACCGAACCCTATATATACCATTTTTTCATTTTTTTCCTATACATACGTACCTACGATAAAGTTTAATAACTTAGGCACAGAAAGAGATTAACAACAACTAATAGTTACATAGAACAATTATAACCATGGGCCAACATCATTACTTTTGCAGTTTGGGGCCATTATTAAGTAAAATAAGGGTTATGTGAACACAAGCTCTTTGATATCATGACGGCTGATCTCTGATCATCCAGACAGCTACTGAGTGAGTGATGGACGGGTAGCATAGATGGCGTAGATACGCTAGACAAAGGAACGAGTCAAGTCCCAGGCAGGACAGAGAAGGATGGTGAGAGATTTCATCCCACTACTCAGAACAGCACGCCATTTGAAACTTAGGAATTGTTTATTTCTGGAATTTTCCATTTAAGATTTTCAGACCACGGTTGACCATGGGTGACTGAAACCTCGGAAAGCAAAACCTCAAATAAGGGTGGAACTATTTATATGTAACATGCGTTAAGTTTCAAAGCAGGATGGAAAGTGACGCCTCTCACAAACCTCTTCCCATGACGAACTTTATTAAGATTATAAAAGATGCTTACTTATAAAATGGATCTGCTTCTTGATTTTTTTAGATGTCAGATGGAACATGTTAGCATCTACCAGATTTTTATCAGTGTTAAAAATCATAAAAGACAATGATCATTGAAAAGCCTGCCTTACTTTGGGAGGCCAAGGCGGGCGGATCATGAGGTCAGGAGATTGAGACCATCCTGGCTAACATGGTGAAACCCTGTCTCTACGGAAAATATAAAAAATTAGCCTGTGGTGGCAGGCGCCTGTAATCCCAGCTACTCGGGAGGCTGAGGCAGGAGAACGGCGTGAAACGGAGAGGCAGAGCTTGCAGTGAGCCAAGATCACGCCACTGCACTCCAACCTGGGCAACAGAGCGAGACTCTGTCTCAGAAGAAAAGAAAAGCCTGACTTTTTATTTTCAGAATTCCAGATTATACTTGGTGACAGAGTTTTTTTGGGCACAGAATCAGACCTTTTAGAAATTGTCCTGGCCCTGTTGAACTCCCACCCAGCCCATGCACAACCGTGAGCTGATAATAATGACAGCAATGACAGCCTTTTCTTGAATCCTTTAGTAATTGACTGAACCCTTGCCCCTGGCTTAGGGGACTCAGAAATAAACTAGATGGCTGAGGTCCCTGGCCTTGTGGAGGTTTGTTCTAGTAAAGGAAACAGTTATAAGTCAGCAAAAACATAACTTCGGGTAGTTATGAGTACCAGACAGAAAAAAAGAAAGCATAAAGGGTTAAAGGATGCTTGCAGGAGAGGGGAGCTGCTTTTCTAGCTGGCTGCCTTGCCCCTGTGTCTCTGGGCTGCCTGCCATTCCTGCAATCCAGCATGGCTCAGTGTCATAATCCTCTTTTATAAACGAAAATAAGCATCTCAAAGAGGCTTAAAGACCTCTCCATGGTCACTCAGCTACCACGCACAGAGCTGGGGTTTGGCCCCTCTGTGTTTCCAAAGTTCAGGCTCTTGGTTCCCTTACAACATGCAGCTGAAACTGGGGCTCCGTTTTGTACAGAAGAGCTTCCCAGGATCCTCCATGCCGGGGCTTTCATCCTGGCCCCCACCTGTGTGTGTGTTTCCTGCCTGTCCCTGCACCACATATGGACGCCTTACAGGGTGCTTTGGAAGTAGGAATTCCTGGGCTGGACTGCCAGTTCTCCACTTGGAGCTGTGTGACCTCAGGCTGGTGACTTGACCTCTCTGATACACATCTGTATCGAATGTGTATCTATTGAATGTGTGTCATCTGTAAAATGGAACTATGACCCACATTTCGGGGTTATGTGAAGAATAAACAGTTACGTGAAGTACCTAGTACTGTGCCTGGAACACTGGTGGATGTTTAGCAAATAATGGTGACTTGATCAATGGGTATAAAGTTACGGTTACATAGGAGGAATCAGTTATGGTGTTTCTATTGCACAGCAAGATGACTATAGTTAATCATAATGTAACCAGTGACTCACATCTATAATCCCAACATTTTGGGAGGCTGAAGCGGGAGGACTGCTTGAGCCCAGGAGTTAAAGACCAGCCTGGGCAACAAAGCGAGACCCCATCTCTACAAAAAAGAAAGAAAGAATAATATACTGTGTATTTCAAAATGTCTAAAAGAGAAGATTTTAACTGGTTTCGTTACGAAGAAATGATAAATATTTGAGGAGACGAATGTATTGAGTTCTCAGATTTGATCATTTTACAACGTATACATGTTTTAAAATATCACATTATACTCCATAAATATATATAATGATTATTTGTCAATTAAAAATTTAAACAAAATCAAAAGAAAGGGATCTGGCCCTGCCAATACCTTGATTTTAGTCCATTGAGGCCTGTTTTGGATTTCTGATGTCCAGAACTGTGACATAACACGTTTTTGTTGTTTAAGCAAAAAAAAAAAAAAAAAAGTAGTGATTATTATTTTGCAATTCAATTTTCCTGGCCTGTTACTGTATTTTGAAATACTAGGCATTGGGGCTTTCATTCGCCCTGAGCTCTTAATCTGTACTCAGAGTTTGAAATCAACTAAAACATACGGTATTTGACTGAGTCAAAGCCACAGCTAAAATTGAGCAAATCTGACACAGATCTCCCCAATGCTGAGGTCAGAAACTGCAGATGGGAAAAGATTGAGCCAGAAATAATATCTGGAGAAAGTCATCCTGGTTCCTAGAACATGGTGCATCATTGCAGAACAGTCTGTTTACATCTACGGGGGAATACACATGAGAATTCATAGCTTATCCAGGCACACAGTGAACTCAACAATTCTGCTGAGTTAGTTCATTTCAGTAAACATTTGTTGGGCCCTGACCACGTACCACACATTGTTGCTAGCTTTCTGGCCCAGCAAATGGTTTCTTTTGGTAAATGTGCCATATGCATTTGAAAAGAATGTGTCTTATGCAGTTAAAGAATACTTGTATTCTTTAATGTGCTGTTAATATGTTAATATGCTATTCTAATAGTCTATATTTATACTGATTTTTCCTGCTTTCCTGATTAATTAATGTAGGAGAGAAATGTTAAAAAAAAATCTCCAACTATGATTGTGAATGTATTTCTCCTCTTAGTTCTGCCAGTTTTTGTTTTATATATATTGATGCTATGCTGTTAAGTGCATAGACACAATTTATTATATCTTCCTGATGACTTAATTGCTTTATTTTTATAAAATTTCCCTCTGTCTCGAAGTGTGCTTTGTCTGATATGAATATAGCCATAGCAGCTTTCTTACAATTAGTGCTTGTGTGATACTTTTTCCATTTTTTTCCTTTCAGTGTATGTATACTTATATTTAAAGTATGTCTCTTATAAACAGTATACAGTTGGGTCTTGTATTTATACTTAATCAGTATGTTTTTCATACATTTATGTGGATTTAATCTAGCATCTTGGTTATTGTTTTCCATTGGTCTGGTATGTTCTATACTCTATTGTCCTTCCTTCTTAACTTTTTGGGGATTATTCAAGAATTTCTTTTGTGTACATTTATCCCCTTTACTGGTTTTTTAACCACATCACCTTGTTTTATCTTTTAAGTAGCTGTTCTAGTGATTATAATACTCATCTTTAACATACATCGGCTTACCTTAAATTAATATACTACTTCTAGTACAATGCATATTTTACATATTTTTATATATTTTATATATATCACATATATAATTTTACTCACTTCATCTCCATTATTTTTGCTACTATATTGTCATTTACTTCTACACATGTTTTAATCCTCAATACTTTGCTATTTTTGCTTTAAATAGCTAGTAGGCTTTTTAAGAAAACTTTGAAGTAGTCTTTTATATTGACCATGTATTTACCGTTTCCAGTACTGTTCATTCCCTCCTTTAGGCTTTATATCTGAGATTGTGTTCTTTGAGCCTGAATAACTATTTTTTTTTTGTATTGCTTGTAGCATAGATTAGTTATTCTAGAGTCTTTGCTTGCGAATTCCAACTCTGGGTCATATATGGGTCTATATCTAGTGATTATTTCTTCTCTTGATTGTGGATTTCGTTTTCCTGCCTCTTCATGTCTTGTAATTATTTTATGTCCAACTTGGTATATAAAAGAATGATAGAGGTTGAAGTAGACGTCATTTTTTTTCCCTCAGGAAATATAGTGCTTTCCCAAGCAAGTGCGTAAGATGAGGAGCTGTTGTTTTGATCATATCAGTCAATAGGAGCTGTGTTGCAGTTTTATTTAATTTCTTCTCTCTGGTTTTAAATGATTTGAGACTGAAGTCAGTTCACTCTATCAGTGCATTGGGAGTCAAGTGCTTCTGTACCACAAAGTCATTTTCTGCTTTTCAGCCCTGCCCCCAGCTGGCTCTTACACAGCACAATTCCCTGTGTGGATGAAGAGAATTGCTTGTGTGTTTGGAGTCCTTCCACATTCACTCTCTCATACCAGTCCACACAATCAATAAAGATTTGGCTGACCTTTCCTTATCTCTGGTGGATTAGCTCTTCTCCAAAGCCGTACCCAGACTAGGCAACATGGTCCTCAAGCGTGAAGTGGCTGACAATCTCTGCTCACTTTAGAAGGGATTGTCCTTCTTTAGAGCTTGGTTTATTGAGATTCCTTACATCCATAGCTTTTTTAAAAAACATGGTGTTTTATATTTCTTGTTTATCTGATGTTTTCATATTTCAGCAGGAACAACCATTACCTCTTAGAACACTTTGCATTGGTTTGAAGTGGCTTTTTCCATTTCTGTTTGTGTTTTGGGAAAGGTGGATGTGGGTTGTACTTAAACCCTCTTCTTATTCATGTTGCTCTGTGTTTTTTTGTTGTTGTTATTCTTTTTTTTGGCAGGAAGATATTTTCGATTCAGATAAAGAAGTTCCTATTGAATCCACTTTTGTTCGCATCAAAGAAACTCCTTCTGAACAGGAGAGCAAAGTCTTCGTTCTGACTGAAAATGGGGAGCGTACCTACACTGTTAACCACGAAAGCAGCCACCCACCACCCTCCAAAGTCTTTGTCTGTGACAAGCCCGAGAGCATGAAGGAATTCCGCCTGGATGGTGTTTCCAGCCATGCACTGTCAGACAGCTCCACCGAGTTCATGCACCAGATCATTGACCAGGTTCTGCAAGGGGGCCCAGGCAAGACCAGCGACATCAGTGAGCCATCTCCAGAATCCTCCATTTTATCATCCAGAAAGGAGAGCGGGAGGTCCAACTCTTTGCCAATCAAGAAGACAGTTCACTTTGAGACTGACACCTACAGGGATCCTTCCTGCAGTAAGAACCTGTCCCTTTGCTTTGAAGGGAGCCCAAGAGTGGCAAAGGAATCATTGAGGCAGGATGGACATGTCTTGGCAGTTGAGGTTGCTGCGGAGAAGGAACAGAAACAGGAGTCCTTGAAGATTCCAGAATCCTCCTCTGACAAGGTCCCTGGTGACATTTTTTTGGCGGAGGGCACGATCAATAATTCTCAGTCTTCCTCCTATAATGGCGCTTTAGAGAGTACAGCCCGCCATGATGAAGAAAGTCACTCTCTTTCACCCCCAGGAGAAGATACTGTGATGGCCGATTCCTTCGAGATCAAGGTTAACCTGATGACCGTAGAAGCTTTAGAGGAGGGAGACTATTTTGAAGCTATCCCATTAAAAGCCTCGAAATTTAACAGCGACCTAGTAGATTTTGCTTCTACCAGCCAGGCTTTCAACGAAGTTCCTTCACCTCATGAGACAAAACCTGACGAGGATGCTGAGGCTTTTGAGAATCATGCTGAAAAACGAGGTAAAAGGAGTACTAAATCTGCTCACAAAAAGAAAGATTCTCCAGAGCCTCAAGGTAAGACGGACAAACATGAACCTCACCAGGACTCCGGAGAAGAAGCTGAAGGCTGTCCTTCAGCCCCAGAAGAGACGCCAGTGGATAAAAAGCCAGAGGTGCATGAAAAGGCCAAGAGAAAGTCCACCCGTCCTCATGATGAGGAAGAGGGAGAAGACGATGACCTCCAGGGTGTGGGCGAGGAATTATCTTCCAGCCCCCCAAGCAGCCGTGTCAGCTTGGAGACCCTTGGGAGTCACAGCGAAGAAGGCCTGGATTTCAAGCCCTCCCCACCCCTCTCAAAGGTTTCCGTCATTCCCCACGACCTCTTCTATTTCCCACACTATGAGGTTCCCCTGGCTGCAGTTTTGGAGGCTTATGCAGAAGACCCGGAGGATCTAAAAAACGAAGAAATGGATCTCGAAGAGCCAGAGGGCTGTATGCCAGACCTGGACTCCAGGGAGGAGGAGGCTGATGGCTCTCAGAGCAGCTCCAGTTCCTCGGTGCCAGGCGAGAGCCTCCCCAGTGCCAGTGACCAGGTGCTGTGTCTCAGCAGGGGTGGTGCGGGTACCACACCAGCCTCGGAACCCGCTCCTCCGGCCCCCCATGAGGACCACCAGCAAAGGGAGACCAAAGAGAATGACCCCATGGACAGCCATCAGGTACTCAACCGTGGGATTTGGGAACCCTGGGTACTGCCTGGAAACTTGACAGTTCTTGGTCTGAAGCTCAGCTTCTTGCTCCATAAAATAGCGATGAGGGGGCTTCCCTCAGGACTCCCATGGTGCAAAATTCAAAGAGGCACCCACTGTGAGGCTCAGGCAAATGCAGGGTTGGCACCTGAGAGTGGGCACCTCCTGAAATCCTGCATATGGGCACTTCAATGGCTTTCCCCCAGTCCTGGCCCTACGCACAGGGATGCTCTGAGGATCAAGTGAGGTCACCTCTGAGGGTCCAGCAGAGGAGGAGCAGAAATGATTTCAAAAGCAGTCATTGTCGCAGGGCAAGGGTTGGAAAAGTAACCGTTGTGTACTATTCTCAGTACCTGGGTGGTGGGATCAGAAGAGCGCATCTCCCTTATCCTGTTTACACACCCATTTCTAACACAGAAACCAAAGATTAGTGCCCAACAGGCAAAAGTCCTTTAAAAATCAAGAAAGCTCACCACCACTGATCATTAGAGAAATGCAAATCAAAACCACAATGAGATTCCATCTGACACCAGTAAGAATGGCGATGATGTCAGGAAACAATAGGTGCTGGCGAGGCTGTGGAGAAATAGGAATGCTTTTACACCATTGGTGGGATTGTAAATTAGTTCAACCATTGTGGAAGACAGTGTGGTGATTCCTCAATGTGATTTCAGAACCAGAAATACCATTTGACCCAGCAATCCCATTATGAGGTATATGCCCAAAGGAATATCAATCATTCTGCTCTAAAGACATATATGCACACATATGTTTGTTGCAGCACTATTTACAATAGCAAAGACATGGAACCAACCCAAATGCCCATCAATGATAGACTGGAGAAAGAAAATGTGATATATATATATATACACACACACACACCATGGAATACTATGCAGCCATAAAAAAGAATGAGTTCATGCCCTTTGCAGGGACATGGATGAAGCTGGAAGGCATCATTTTCAGCAAACTAACACAGGAACAGAAAATCAAACACTGCATGTTCTCACTTATAAGTGGGAACTGGACAATGAGAACACATGGACACAGGGAGGGGAACAACATACAATGTCGGGGGGTGGGAGGCTAGGGGAGGGACAGCATTAGGACAAATACCTAATGCATGTGGGCCTTAAAACCTAGATGACGGGTTGATGGGTGCAGCAAACCACCATGACACATGTATGTCTGTGTAACAAACCTGCACACTCTGCACATGTATCCCAGAACTTAAAGTAAAATTAAAAAATAACAAAAAGGAAAAAAAGCCAATAAAGGAAGAAACAAACTAACAAAAAGTCCTTTAAAACCCAAGGCTGGAGTCAGCCTTCATGACCCCATTGCCCAGGTACTGAGAATAGTGTACTCACAGTCGGGTACTGCAACCAAGGGAACCTCATAGTGCGGGAAATAGAAGAGGTTGTGTTGTGGGGAGTGATGGAAGCCTTTGAGAGGGGTGGAGAGGGCTTGAAATCCAGGCCTTCTTCACTGTGACTCCCAAGGGTCTCCAAGTTGACACGGCTGCTTGGGGGGTTGGAAGATAATTACCCCAAGCTTCAGCATCATGCAATGTACCTACGTAACAAACTGGCACATGTATCCCCCAAATCTAAAATAACAATTGAAAAACAAACACATATATATATATATATAAAATTTTTTATTATACTTTAAGTTCTGGGATACATGTGCAGAACATGCAGGTTTGTTACATAGGTATATGTGCGCCATGGTGGTTTGCTGCACCTATCAACCCATCATCTACATTCGGTATTTCTTCTAATGCTATCGCTCCCCTAGCCCTCCACCCCCACAGTCCCCTGTGTGTGATGTTCTCTCATAACTTACCACTAACATAGGCATTAGAAAGTTTAAAAAAAAAAAAAGTCATCGTAGCTAACATCTAGCATGCACTTAGTGAACACTAACCTGTTCTTCTGCAGTAACTTAGGAGAAACAGAAGAAGCCCTCATGTTTGACTCCAGTTTTGATTTTTTAAAGGACTTTGCCTCATGGGCACTAATCTTTGGTTTCTGTGGTTTGAAATGGGTATGTAAATAGGATAAGGGGACATGCACTCTTCTGAGCTTGAGCAGCTGGTCACATTCTTATCTGCCACTTATGTGCCCACTTCATCTGGCCCAGCAGCTCGCGAAGGGCCACTGGAGTGATCAGTGAAGGGGGGTGCCTGGGCCTGGCCTGATGGGGAGGCTCCTCCTGTAGATGCCACGTTAGTAAGTGCTTCTCCCTGCTGCAGCACTCAGGGATCCAGGAGGTGAGTCCGAAACTGCATTGGCCATGCCCTGCTGGATACAGTACACACAGGGCATCCAGGGCAAGACAGCCAGGGAGGAGAAGGGCTTGGGCTCAGCCTCTCCAGCCCCTCCATGAGCTCACCTGCTTACTCATCCAACCCCATGGAAAGCGACGCATCTGGCACTGCCGGGAAGATAAAAGAAAGAAGGAAAATCCTGCCTTCAGTGTCTGATGTGGGAGACAGAGTCCCCCGTAACTGTACTATGAGAGAATGTGGCCTCAGCCATAAGAGATGGGCCCAGCAAAGGGATTCAGGGGTTCAACAGAAAGAGGCTCCCACCCAGATCTTGAAAGACTGCATGGGGGTTTTGGGGACCCTAGAACTGGGGAGGGAGTTCTGGGTGGAGGGACTAAGGGTAGAAGTCCCCTAAGTACAGAAGCCAGGTGGGAAAGTGACCAGCTATTTCAGATTGCATTGGCTCTACCTCTATCTGAGACCCTCCCCCAGTCTCTCACTGTCCCTCCTCCCCAGCTCAGCTTGCAGAGGGATGACCCTAAAACACAGGTCCCATCTTATCACTTCCTGACTCCTGCTCCAGAATCAATTCTAAAGTTCTTAGCATGAACTCCAAGACTCTTCCCTCTCTAACCTGGCCACCCACCCCTCTTTGTCTCCCTCCCCTCCAGCCAAGCCAGCATCCTCCCAGACCCCCAGACATCCAGGCTCTCCTCTGCCTCCAGGTGTCATTGGGCTGGTCCCACCATCTGGGCAAGCAGTTATTCACCCTTCAAAGCCAATGCAAATGGCACCTCCTCCCAGAAGCACTCCCACCTCCTCCCCAGGCAGGGCCATTGCTCCCTCCCTATTGCTGGTCACATTCTCGACGGTCTCTCCTTGAGTGCTTGCCTGATTTCCGGGGACTTTGTTTTTCTCTCCCGTGAGAGAGTGGACCTTTGTATATTGATCTTTGGATGCTGGAGACCAGCACAGTGCCTGACAGGGCCTGCCAGTGGAGGGGACAAAGGTTTATTACACGATGGTTTCGGGGGCTTACAGCAATTGGAAGGTAAATGAAATACTGAGACACATGACAAAGCTCTGGCTCATCAGAGCCCAGTGAGGGGCCCAAAGGACTGGGGCTGCTTGAAGGATTAAGGGAGCCTTGCATCCTGCAGGAGCTACCGAAAAAAGTTGGGTTCAAGTAGCCTTTTTAAAGTTCAAAAGTTTTTTGATAGTTGAGTAGTTGGGGTGAATGAGTGGGGTAGAAGACCTAGAAGATTCGTTGAGCCAATAAAGAGAGTAAGGGAAATTAGTCTAAGGGATCAGGTTCGTCCTAAAAGACACTTAGGATTTTAGCTAGGCCAGAAGTCAGGGGCTGGTTTTATTCAGTTTGCCAAATCTGAGCAATGAGGAGTGGCTGCCTAAGCCCTAGGAGAAGCAGCATCCTCAGGCCAAGGGGCACATGGGCAGGGCTGCGCACTCTGTGTTTGCCAACCATGGAATGGACGGGAAGAGGACTGGATGGCTCTGCAGGTGCCAGGGACCACGCCTGCCATCTTCCCCTTCTTCCCCCAGGGAGAGGAACCCAGTCCCCCACTCGCTCCCACGGCCTCCTGTGTGCTGACTTCTCTGAAGTCAGCCCCGCCGCCATGCAGGTGCTTCCTGCAGGAGGCCATGAAAATCCAGCAGAGTAGAAATATCCTCCAGTGAGATCTGGCCTTATTGTCCGCAGATTGAGGGGCAACACAGCTGAGGCCACAATCTGTTATGGCCAGAAAGCTCTTGCAGGACAAAAGAAAGAGGACTGAGTGGGTGGTGGGGAGAGCCTGAGTTGCATCTCAGCCCCTCTGTTTAAAATGCTGGGCTCGGTGGCTCACGCCTGTAATCCCAGCACTTTGGGAGGCCGAGGCGGGCGGATCACAAGGTCAGAAGATAGAGACCATCCAGGCTAACACAGTGAAACCCCGTCTCTACTAAAAATACAAAAAATTAGCCGAGTGTGATGGCACGTGCCTGTAGTCCCAGCTGCTCCGGAGGTTGAGGCAGGAGAATCGCTTGAACCCGGGAGGCAGAGGTTGCTGTGAGCCAAGACTGCACCATTGCACTCCAGTCTGGGCGACAGAGTGAGACTGTCTCAAAAAAATAATAATAATAAACTAAAATGATTAATTAGCGGCTTGCATCCTCCCTCCTGGCCTATTGGATGTGGCCTGTGAAAATACAAATATGGCATTTTTTCTCGAATGCTTTCCTTCCAGCAATTGCCAAAAGCAGAGGGTGCATGTGTCCAGCACTTGTGATTGAAAGAGCCCTGGGTTGCAATGGTAGAATCAGGAGATCTAGATTTGATCTCCGTCTTACATGGATCTCACTCTTGGTGAGAGCGTGGGCAGATGAGCTCCCTTGGGTACTATGTGGGAATGAAATCAACACCATCTGCCTCACGTGGCTGCAGTCTGCTGCCTCTCCTCCCCAGCAAGCACTGCCCACTGATCCCAAGCCCACCTTGCAATTTTCTCCCAAGTGGAGCCCTTGCCTCAATCCGTGTGGGTGAGCGTAGGGAGAGGGTACAGCCCATTTGATGAGGAGCCCAAGGTGAGGTCTGGGAGTCTTGCCTCCTGGCAGAGAGGAGATGGGATGGAGCATTTCTCTGATACCTTGCCTTCCTTTAAAAAAAAAAAAAAAGAGGCTGGGAGCAGTGGCTCACTCCTGTAATCCCTGTACTTTGGGAGGCCGAAGTGGGTGGATCACCTGAGGTCAAGAGTTCGAGACCAGGCTGGCCAACATGGAGAAACCCTGTCTCTACTAAAAATACAAAAATTAGCCAGGCATGGTGGCAGGTGCCTGTAATCCCAGTTACTAGAGAGACTGAGGCAGAAAAATCACTTAAACCCGGGAGGCAGACGTTGCAGTGAGCTGAGGTCACGCCACTGCACTCCAGCTGAGGAGACAAGAGCAAGACTCCGTCTCAAAAAAAAAAAAAAAAGATATTTTTCTAGCCAAAGGGACTAGAAAATGGCAATTTTTTCTTCTGGTCTTGAAAAAATACATAAACCCTCTGCTTGTTTCACCTTTCAGAAATGGTGGCATTTGACCATTGATGAGGGCAGCCTGTGAAGACTATCATTTCAGATTGCTAAGCGCAGCTTTTCATTCCTGCATGGAGCTTTGTTCTCCTGCGACACAGTGGCCTGGCCACTCTAATGCTCTTATTCTGATACCTGTTGAACAGGTTCTTCCAGTCCCTGAAAGAATTCTTGAGAGGTGGCTCCAACAATGACCATGCTCCTGCATTTCACTCAGGAGCCTTGCTGACAGGTTTCAGAGTGCCTGGTGCTTACAGAGGCCAAAGAATCTTCGTTACCAGATATATGCTAGACATGTTGCACTACCATCCACCTTTGGCCAAAGGCACAGTGAAGATGGCATCCTGAAAACACTACACCTGCCTATGTGCCTCTCCAAACCTATAGGCCACCTTTGCACCCTTTGGCCCACCTAGCTTCCTGGATTTATTCCTTTGTTTAAATGGATAATGATTGTGAAGGATTCAGCCACTGCTCACTGTAAGAGCCCTTCTCTTCCTCTTTCTTCCTTCCTTCCTTTTCTCTTTCTTTCTTTTCTTTCTTTCTTTCCTTTCTTTCTTTTCTTTCCTCTCTCTTCTCTCCTTTTTTCTATCCTTCTTTCTTTTTCTTCTTTCTTTTTCTTCTCCTTTCTTTCTTCCTCCTCCTCCTTCCTTCTTCTTCTTCATCCTCCTCCTTCTTCTTTTCTTCTTCCTTCTTCTTCACAGGGTCTCACTCTGTCACCCAGGTTGGAGTGCAGTGGCATGATCTGAGCTCACTGCAACCTCTGCCTCCCAGGCCCAAGCAGTCCTCCCACCTCAGCCTCCCAAGTAGTTGGGACCACAGGTACCACCACACACAACTAATTAGAGACATGATTTATAGGAAATCCTGTGGAATAGTGGGACGTGGTTAATAATTATCGTACCCATTTCACCAACAAATAAACTGAGGCTCAAAAAGATAACATCAGTCACTCAGGGTCGCAGAGCTGACTCAGCCAGGATTTGAAATCAGATTGCTGACTCTAGAACCTATATTGTTTCAACTCCATCAATTTGTAGAATTTGAATTCTGAACCGGGGTGGGAGTTGGGGTGGACTTGTCTCTCATGCAGGCTGTGCTGCAGCGGATTCATGAGGAGGATCAGGGAACAGGCAGAATTGGAAGGGACGCCCTGGCTGGGCCTGAGCAGAGCACTGCTGGGTGGTGTCACCTACTTTACACTGCACTATGACATACTGACTTGGATTTGGTTGTTCTTTCAGTCCCAGGAATCCCCAAACCCGGAAAACATAGCAAACCCCTTAGAAGGAAATGTAACGAAAGAATCAATCAGTAGTAAAAAAAAGGAAAAAAGGAAACATGTGGACCACGTAGAAAGTTCACTATTTGTAGCACCTGGAAGTATTCAATCCTCAGATGACCTAGAAGAAGACACTAGCGACCACTGCATTCCTTCCAGGTATTTTATTCATCTCTTTTCACCCTTAAGGTGGAGCCGGAGAGTTACAGAGTCATTTGCAGTTTCGGATTTGATGGGGTGGGAGGTGCAGGCATGGAATTGGACAGCAAGGGAAACACAGCTTCATGTACAGTCCTCATTCTCTACACCTGGGTTCCCCCACCCACCCTCACCATTACCAGACCTCATGAGGAGCAAAATGGGAAGGATGGGAAGCTTGCCTTCTCTCCTCACTCTTCAAACCTTTGAGTGGAAGCTGGCAGTGAGCAGTGGATGGCTGAACCATAGGTAGGCGCTGGGGTGAACGCGGTAGACTTGGAGCCTCTGTTGGCTGCCTTCTGGCCCCCAGACAACTGCAGTTGAGCAAACTTCACTTTATAAGCATCTCAATGACTTCAAGCGTATCCACCTTTCCACAAAGGAGATCTTTAACGTCTGGCGCGTGGAAGCTGGGCATCTTATTAACCTTATGGCTTCTTCCACAATTCCCGTTCCAAGGAAGTAGGGATGCTTGATCTAGCTTGGGAGAAATAGGGAGCAGGGAGGATAATGAGATTTAACTGATCTACAGGAATCTCATAGCACGCCTCTGCTCTGTCACTCCAAGGCCACCAGATGAGCCAGATTTGTCCCTGGGAAAATGTGTAACTGCTGAAAATCAGAAGACCCTGGTCTCTCCCCTCTCTCATCATCACAATAGTCAGCCAGTGTTTATCAAGCCCTTAATGTGTCCAGGCACTTCACACTCATTTTCTCATTCATTCTCATGTCACCTATAGACACATTGGTGGGACTGTGCCTCATATGGCAGACAAAGAAGGTCTGGGGCCAGCTAACTTTCCCAGCTTAGGAGATGGCAGAGCTAGGAAGTCTTGGACTCAGATGTGTCCCACTCCACAGTCCACATTCTTTTTGTGCCCTCTTGTTGCCTGTGATGATGTGAGTAATGCAAGCTGCAGCAGAACGTTATTGAGATATGCATTTGGGGAGGGGCAGGGAGAAGCCCATACAGACAGAGCCAGAGGAGTTGCTGGCAGGTGCCTGGCTTTCCACCTCCCTCTGCCTTGCTTCTGTGCCTGGACCTTGGGGAAACAGAGGCAGGGGGAGGAGGGCCAAGGCACAACAGAAGGCTGCTGCCCATTTGGCCTTTGACTCCCAGCGTGCCTGTCCCTGCCCCTGGGTGTGACTGTCTAGCAGTCATCTATGATCTTCACATGTCGCTGGGCTCTGCTGTCAGTGCCGGTGAACGCTTTGGACAAACAGCCCAGGGAATCTGCCCAACTGCTCAGCTTCTCCCTAAACAGGTTAGTTCTCAAAGAATCCTTGAGCAGCCACTATGCAATGGAGTCTGCTAGGCCTGGGGACTTCAGGAGAGGGAGAAAGAGGTCAGCCACAGGGGTTGAAGGCAGGGCTCCATCCTTCAAGGAAATATGACGTCACCCTCCGTTCCGCTAGGACTGGGTGGAACATGAAAAATGTGAGGCAAGCATTCCCACTTGCACATTCTGGACCTCAGAGGCAGGTAGAGAGAGTCGGGGCAGCCTGGTCTAGGCCCAGGTCTGACTAATTACAGAGAACCTCTGGTGAGTCCCAACACATCGGGATGCTTGGGTTACTTACTGATCCAAATGCTATGATTTTTAAGAATATGTGGCTTGCTTTCTATTTAAAATCCTGACTTCATGTTTTCTTGTAGATGAGGGCCCAATGTGTGTGTCACTAATATCCATGCTATTCGTAAGCACTCTCCAACCCAAGTAGGAGTATTAGATAAAATCTCTCATTTCTGTCCCTGGGTGTGAAGTCGTAGCTCTTGCCCAAATCCATATGTGGAAGCCCCAGGATGCGGGTGACCGTACAACTGAGCCATGAAGAGCTCCAGGTGGTACCAATTGAAAACGTGTGTTTGTTTTTCAGGACTAGTCACAGTGACTCCAGCATTTACATTCGACGACATACTAATAGGTCTTCGGAATCGGTTAGTATGTGAATTTCTTCTTTTTCCGCGCGGCCCCTGCTAATCAATTCCTTTCCGTCCTTCCTCCTCCCCAGCCCAGAGCTTTGAAATTACTGACGTGCAACAGCTATACTTTTGGATAGAAGACAAGCAAATTGAAACCTTGTCATTAAGCACAGTCCAATCGGATGTCCGGTTTGGGCAATAAGGGATGTAAATAAAGTGATGATTTTAAAGCCCAAAGGCCTCTTTGTTACAAAAACGCATCCAAAACGCCCTGCCTGGACCCCCCCTGCACACACACCCAGAAAGATCACATTCAAAGACAGAGGTGCAACATGAGTGGAGGTCCGATGGACACTCGCACGTGCTTAGTACCAGATGTGTTAGAACCCGGAGCAGCACACCCCAATTCGGGTTCCAGGTGGTGGGGATTCTCTTGCTCACAAGGGAGGGGCTTGGGGGAGGAAGTAGAGGAATGTATATTGTGTAATGCTTTGATTTTGGATCTAGATGCTGACAGTATTGAGAAATGCACGGCATGCTCGGCTTTGTGTGTTTAAAATCGTTTTATTTTCTGTTTCAGAGATTTCATCTTTACTAATTGGGTTGCGGGGGTTTTGTTTATAAATTTCACTGTAGGATCATTTTAGCTATGTTCAGTTGAGGAACGCAGCAGATCTGGATGACAGAAGAAACCGAATGTTAACCAGGTTGGTGGCTTTACTTCAGGTTTTGTGGGGGTTGTAATAAAATGTTTCTCCATTCTGCAGCCTGCCTTACAGGGGTGGTTCTTCTCCCACTGCTTTGTTGATAACAGTATTAATAATTTGGGATAATGCAAGGAAATAACTCTTCCAGAGAAAATGATGTAAATTGAATAGGAGTAGAAAGGAAAAGTAGATATTAATTAACACTGATGGGCAGGGCCCGGTTCTGAAAATGAGTCAGTGTAAAGACGGGTCTGGGTTCTGAGCCTGCAGCTTTGTTTACATGAGTGGTGTACGGTATAGGGTGGTTTAGTGGTATAAGGTAGTTAGCAAAGGGAGGGCCAGGCAGGAGAAGAGGTGGTGGTCTTGTGAGGGTATGTCCCCTCCCCCGCAATGCTATAGTCCCTGACGCCTGTCTGTTCACTGTCGCCACTGCAGGTACAATACTCAGAAGCTCACTGAGCTGATTTTACAGTTTTATGGCATCAGAGCAGACATGAAGAGGGAAAGCAAACATGCCAGGAAGTCTATGAAAGTATTTCTTGCTGTCGGAGAACTGCTGGCCTAGCATAATGTTGCTGAATTGCTGGAAACCTGCCCATTTAAAACATAGGGAACCAGAAAAACTTCTCAAACTCTTACAATTCTGAGACATCCCCATTCCTGTTGAAGTCATAGAATTGCTTTATGTTTCTATTTTTAAAAAGTTTTATTTACTCACCACAGATTTGAATTGGCTTGGAAGGATTTAGATTACTGGAATCGGAAGCCTCTGTCTGAATATTACCCAACACCCAAGAGTGTGGTCCTTAGAACCCCATCCCTCTGGCTGCTAAAAAAGAAGCAAGACAGCTCCTTTCCCCTGCCATGAAATGGAAATACTAATTCAAGTTTTCAACTAGGCTGGACGTGCTCATAGGAAAATAATCCTTTTTGCTCTTATGAGATAGAGATGTTGAAAATAGAACCTATAGAGTTGAGAAATGCAGCCATGTTTTCAGTTTTCTACATTGAGCATTTATTACCTTTACAATAAAAAATATGGTTTAGGCTGCATGTGGTGGCTCATGCCTGTAATCCCAGCACTTTGGAGGCAAGGAGGGAGGACTGCTTGAGGCCAGGAGTTTGAGACCAGGAATTTGAGACCAGTCTGGGCAACACAGAGAAACCCTGTCTCTATAAAACGTATGTAGTTTAAATTGTTTCTGTGGACAGCTTTTTTAAAAATACCATCATGTGGGTATTTATCATTCAGTATGTAGATGGCGGCAGATGTTTAATCCCACCCTGCCCCTCACTCCTGCTATCAGGGGATAGTACTGGGACAAGTGGTTTTAGCCTCTCATAATCTCCATTACATGGCACGAAACCCCCTAAGAAGCTTACACTGCAGGCTTCTCTACATGCAGCTCCAAGCAGAGGCCCCAGCCCCAGCTCATGGTCCCTACCTCACCCTTTCCTCTGGAAACTCGGGTCTGGGGTTGGTTTCTGCCATCTTCTGTGCTTCACTATTATCCGCCAGGCAAAACCTTCTGGGCTTCCCTATTGTCCACCAGGCAAAACCAAAATGGCATTTTAACACTACCGCCTATAAAATAAAAGCAGGAAGGTAAATCTGACTGAAATCAAATCTAGTAATTATTTTATTTTATTTTATTTTATTTTGAGACGGAGTTTTGCTCTTTTTGCCCAGGCTGGAGTGCAATGGCACAATCTCAGCTCACTGCAACCTCCGCCTCCCGGGTTCAAGCGATTTTCCTGCCTCAGCCTCCCGAGTAGTTGGGATTACAGGCATGCACCACCATGCCTGGCTAATTTTGTTTTTTTTTTTTTTTAGTAGAGATGGGATTTCTCCATGTTGGTCAGGCTGGTCTTGAACTCCCGACCTCAGGTGATCCCCAACCTTGGCCTCCCAAAGTGCTGCGGTTACAGGCGTGAGCCACCGCACCCGGCCCCTAGTAATTATTTTAAAGGTAATATTCCAAAGCCAAAACAAAACTGTGGGGAATGGGAGAGGTCTTTGTTTCTTTCTTTCTGATAGATGATTTAAAATGATCTGCTATCAGGGATGCTTCATCCCTTAGATGACCCATGCGGTCCCCTCTGTTACTAACAAACAGCAGCGAACCATCAGTATCTAACTCCATGCCACTCTCTGAGAGCACTGTGGCATCAAGAAAGGTGTCCCAGGAGACCTGGCCTAGGTGCCAGCTCTGTCGCCAAGTAATCCCGTGGCCTTGGGCAAGTCACTCCACCGGAAAGCCTCAGCGTGTCCATCTGCAGAATGGCGCTGCTAGCTCCTCCCACCTGATGTTATGGAGATGAACAGAGTGTGTGCAAAAGCTTGAGGGGCTTCCTTGTTGGCCCAACCCACTGGCTTGGGTCAGCACACACAGTGTGGGGCCTACCTGGACCTGGTGCTGGGGAGCCTTCAGGTCGTCAGGCAGGGAGTGGGGGCCGGGGAGAGACTGGGTGGGGTCCACCTTCCTGGGAACTTGCTTGGTAACTGCCTTTCCTCTGTGTTCCTTCTGTAGGAAGGCCAACAGCTCAGGAGAAGCCATGTCACTGGGGAGCCACAGCCCGCAGAGCGACTCTCTGACGCAGCTTGTCCAGCAGCCGGATATGATGTATTTTATTCTCTTCCTGTGGCTCCTGGTGTACTGCTTGCTGCTGTTCCCACAACTGGATGTTAACAGACTCTGATACGTGTGTCTGGATAATAAAAAAGACAGGACCCTGACCGGGGCGGGGTACTTCATTTTATTTTGGGTTCTGGGTGGGGTACTTCTACAGACAGTTGAGGACCTCCGAGGAAACTTAGTCGCCCTTTCTCACTGTTGTGGTTTTTGTGTGTGTGCTTTTTTTTTTCCCCAGGTTTCCTTTTTTTTCTGGATGATGTGAGCATGCTTTTTTCTTTGGCTGTGTACTCAAAACTCAGGCATGCAGCTGGATCCGTAGGTGGGGTTTGTGCTTGTGTGCCTTGCTGGGTCGGATAGGAAGCATCATTAGTGATCATTAGCCTGCCTGGATCTTAGCGCACCCCACATGCAGGTTCACATCCTAGATGAACTAGGATTCAGATGAAGGGCTGCTTGGTGAGAAAGAGGGTGGGCTCTCCCAGGCAGAGCCCCAGCTGGGAAGAAAGCTGCCACATTTTCCTCCAAGCATGGATGTTTGAGAGAAGGTACTGGGGTCCATGCACCTGTTGCAGTCCAGTAACTGGTTGCATTCACTGGGGGAAATCTGAGCAGCCGGCTCTGTGCAAGCACATCCGGGAATGGCAGAATCCAGGGAGCAAGGGGAAAGCTGTGTTGAGAGCCACAGTGTGCTCTTTTTCATCCTGGTTTGTTGTTGTTGTTGTTGTTGTTGTGTTGTTTGTTTGAGGGGAGATGCATTTGAAATTCAGTTTTCCATTGATTGGATTGAGATAGAGCCATGATTTTCAAACCAGATCCTCAAGGCCCAGCGGGGCCCTGTAAAAGCCATGAGGAGTGGCTGGGCTGGAATCAGCTCCCACCGGTGCTGGAGCTGGGTGATGCGGCAACTTCCTACCCGCCAAAGCTTTGGTGCACACCTCCCTCAGAATGCACGTCTTGGCATGGGCATCCTTTGTGGTCACTTGTAATGGGTTTCTTGAAGAGGCTTTCTGGACAGTACTCTGGGAGCAGGCCAGCACAGGAGGTTTGTGAAAGAAGGTAGGCGTCTCTAGCACCCCTGCCCCCCGTCGTCTTCAGCCCCGGGCTCTCTCCACTCTCTCCTTCCTGCCAAGACTCCGGTCTGTGGCGAATCTCTGCATCAGTTCCTCCTCCTCTTGCTCTCCCGTTCAGAAAGCACGTACCAGGCAACCCTTATAAAATCACAAACGAGTCAGGAGGGGACTCAGAGAGCATCTTGTCTAGCTGAACCCAGGGTGACAGAGCAGCGTGACCAAGATCATGCAGCCAACCGGGGGCAGACTTGCGGTGAGCACACGGGCACCTGATGTCCCCTTGTAGGAAACTTCCACCGGGCACCCCCGTGTCCTGAGAAAAAGATAAAATGACTAGATTAAAATGTCCACATTCAAACAAAACCAAAAATTTTAGACCAACTGTCGACGTTTGTTTTGTTCTTGTATTTTTCCCATGAGGAAGTCTTACTCACCTTCAAGCTCATCCCCGTTTCCTTCTGAAATACCCTGGACGGCTGCAACAGCTTGTCATTTGACATACCAGCGTCGTTCTTACTCCAGGAATCGCGTTTCTTTCTTTGCTAGCCAAGGACTTGCTCATTTCAAGCAGTGGGTTTCAAGTTCACAGAATTCCAGCATGGCCAGAAGAATTTACACAGCACATCTGAGTCGATGACAGCCCAAATCTGGCCTCTAAACCAGTCTGATTATAGTCTGTCTCCCCTCCTGAAAGAATTTCAGCCTTCCAAGCAGAAGGCTGTTGGGAGCTTGGAGTGATTCCATCTGGAAGGCCAAGAGCCCCGTGGAAAATGAGCTAATTAATGAGCTCCCTGGCATCAATGAAAGCGCAAAGGTACAGATAATAAAGATTATGTGTGTGATAGTTTATAACCCTGGGCACCATGCAGTCCTCGCCTAAATTAGATGCTCAAAGAGCCCGGGAAGAGCCGACCAAAATGTGAATCATTTCATTTTATGGGTCTAGACCTTGTTCAGAAAAACCTCTGCAGGATTCTTTTCTCACCTATTACAACTTGTAATATTGTTTAAAACATCCACTGGCAAGATGCCTAAAAGTCATTGGGTTCAGGTTGGCAGTCAACTGATTTTTTGAAAAGGAAAAAGAAATCTCATTTGAGTATGGACTTCTATGGAAGAAGGTGAATATAGAAAATGGATGTGGAAGTCTGCAGGAGAAACCACCCCATTGCTTGTAATTTTTTTTTTAATTTAAAAGAAATGCAATAAGGCTTTTAACAAGAACTAGCAGTCCCCTAAGTCTCGCGGCTTAGAAGTAACCACTTTCACCTCTCTTATGTTTGCATTTCTACATAACGTGCTTACGCTTATGTTTTAATTAATTTAGAAACACCTACCGGCTTGCTATCACAGTAGATGAGGATTTCACTCTTACCATACCGTATTTTGGTTTTCCAGTATAGCTAGATCACATCATTTCATACATTTCTATTAGGTGTTGACATTACCTAGAGCACTTAAGGATTGTTGACTCCCAAGCCCAGCAGTGTGTTATGGTTACATGTCCTCCTTTCTCCTCCAAATGTCCCCCTTAATTTGTTATTCTCTCTCTTTACTTTTCTTTTCTTTTTCTTTTCTTTTTTTTTTTTTTGGTGTGGCACATTAATAACTTCCTGAGGAAGAGAACATGGGAAGTAAATATGGTTGTAAATATTTTGAGATTTTTGCATGACTTAAAATGTCTGTATTCTGCCCTTAACAGAAATGTGGCTGAGCATAGAATGACAGGTGGAAAATAATACCCTCTCCTAACGCCTCCCAAGTGTGCTGGTGTTGAGATTTCTGATGCCATTCTGAGTCCCATACCTTTACATGTGACTTAGGTTTTTTATCCACCCTCCCTGGAAACATTTAAAATCTCTTTATTCTTGGTGTTCTGAACTGTCATGATGGTGTCATATCCTGGGTGTTAAACCTTGCGCTGGGGCTTCATGGGAAATTTCTTAAAGTTTATTGTGATTACTTACATTTTTTTCTTTCTGGACCACCTATTATTTCAATGTTGGACCCTCCCCTACCCCCAGGCTGATGCTGTAAGTTTTATCTTTTCTGTTTTTCATCTGTTTCCGATCTGCTTTCAGGAAGAATTATTCATTTTTATCTTCCCAATCTGAAGGTTGTATTGAAGTTTTATTTTCCAAATTAACAAAACCTTTGGTCATTATCCTGTCTTTGTTTTCTGGTGTCCCTTTCTTGATGCGTGAATGCAGATTTTGTCTCTCTGTGGACGTTAATGATTGTGTTTTGAGGGGAAGTTCTTTTTCTGCTCCTGTGTTGCCCTCATTTCCTCTGAATTCCCTTTATTTTGGTTGATCTCAGTCTCTGTCTTTCACGTTGTAAATTTTTCTCAAATATCTGGTGATCCTGTGGATCTGTTCATGTTTAAGAGTGAGGCATCCTGGCTGGGCGCGGTGGCTCACGCCTGTAATCCCAGCACTTTGGGAAGCCCAGATGGGCGGATCATGAGGTCAGGAGATTGAGACCTTCCTGGCTAATACGGTGAAACCCTGTCTCTATTAAAAACACCAAAAAATTAGCCGGGCATGGTGGCGGGCACCTATAGTCCCAGCTACTCAGGAGACTGAGGCAGGAGAATGGGGTGAAGCCGGGAGGCAGAGCTTGCAGTGAGCCAAGATGGCGCCATTGCACTATAGCCTGGGCGACTGAGTGAGACTCCGTCTCAAAAAAAAAAAAAAAAAAGTAGTGAGGGGCATCCAAAAGCTGATTGGAAGCTGTGTGTGCCAACTGGTGAGCTTTTCCACTAGGGTCACCAGGTGGGCACCTGGACTCATCGGAGAACGCTGCGTGTCAATATTTGCACGTGTTTTCTCTGAGGCTCATTCTGTTTCTTTAGAGATGTTCCCACTACTCTCTGGGAAACAGGGCCATACACAGGGCTGCTTTTAGCCTACGCTGAACCCTCATGTTGTTTCAAAAACAGTGTCCCATCTGGGCAGAAGCCCCCATGAGCACTTGGCTTGACTGGCAGAGGACACCTTTTGCCCCTTCCTCCAGATATACCCAGCCCTGAGCTTGGACAATGCTTGAAGAACAATGAAAAGGCTAGATTTTACCTCATGATTGCCCCCTTTAGCCAGCTGCCTCTGTGCAATGCACAAACTGTAGGACCATATCCAGAGACCCTGGTCTATACTCAGTGTGCCCGAGTTCTCACTGCTGAGCAGGCAGCCTCATTACCCATGAATATTTAGACTTTCATTGAGTTGCTTCTACCTTTGCTGTGTCTGGTGTCCCTGAGTTGGAGCTGCTCTGATTTCTCCATAGAGTAGGAGCACAGTGGTCATCTGGCTGCAGGGGAAGGACAGGGGACCTCTGAGCCAACAAATGCCCTGGTCTTCAGCCCCATGTCTCACCCCATCCCTCCCATTCCAATCCCCAAGCCTCTCCTGGAAGCCACAGGGCATCTCTGCTGACCACTCTGTGGCCTCCCCTCTGCAGGCACGTGGTTTTAGGATCCCCCGCCCTGCTCACTTCTCCATCAGTTCCATTCTTGCATCGATAGGTTGCTAGCTCTTGCTTACTGTTTTCTTCGGTATCCCTCTGTGTTCATGGTTGTATTAATATAACTTTCTTTCCTTTGCCCCTGTTTTCATGGGGTTTCATGAGGGAAGAAGCGGGCTCATGCATTCAGTATACCACCTTGATCCATAAACCCCATTTGAGTTTTCTCACTGGTTGCTTGGGGAGCTTGCTGCTCTGACTGGTCTGTGAACGTGCCCTGAGTCCAGCTGGGACTATAGCAACATCCATCCTGTTGAGCTGTGGCCTACTAAGTGATTTTGTGTAATTCTGTGCCAAGTGCGGGAGAGGGTTAAATAGCGTGGGTAAGCTCTGCTGGAATGCCATGATTAGTTATTACCTTCCTTCCTTCCCCCTGGTTTTGCTGCCTATTCTCAGTAAATGATCTTAGATCTCCTGTCTCCCCAAAGATACAGTCTAGGTGGTCCTCTTTATCTTGCTTCATTTAAGAAACAGAAAACTAGCTAGGCACAGTAGTGGCTCACACCTATAATCCCAGCACTTTGGGAGGCCAAGGCAGGAGGATCGCTTGAGGCCAGGAATTCAAGACGAGCCTGCACAACATAGCAAGACTCCATCTCTACAAAAAGTTAAATTTAAATTAGCGGGGTGTGGTGGCATACACTTGTAGTCCCAGCTACTCAGGAGGATGAGGCAGGAGAATTGTTCGAGCCCAGGACTTTGAGGTTACTGTGAGCTATGATCCTGCTATTTCACTCCAGCCTGAGTGACAGAGCAAGACCCTATCTCAAAAATAAAGAAATAAGTAGTCCACACAGGTGTTTGCCAGCAAACAAATAGCGTGGATTCTCTGTTGAGCGTGGCCAACATTTCCTCGTCAAAGTTTGTATCTTGCCGTAGTTGATGATTGGGCTGTCGGGGCTTCCTGGTCAGACCTGACCTTTGTGGGGAGATGTTCTCCCACCAAGGCTGGGAAGCAGGACACTCTTGCTGCCCCTTGGGCAGCCACCCAGAACATGGGCTTCTCCGTTTCTGTGGTTCAACATAGTACCCCCCACCCTCTTCCCATGCAGTGCATGCCTGCTCTTTGTCAGGATGGAACAGAGGGAAGGCAGAGGCACTGGGGGCAGCCTGTGTAGTTGATCTCTGTAAGTCATAGGCTGTTCAGAAACCTCAGGAATTATGTAAGCGTTCAGTGCCTCATTTAAGAGATGAAAAACTGAAGATTAGAAAGAGGAAACGACTGGTCGCCCTGCTAGTTGATGACCTCCAGATAGCCATCTTCATTCCCAGTTAAGTTTACTACAAAACTGCAGCCTCAGCTGCTGCAGCTAACCTCCCCAACCCCCATCGCTAGAGACTCAGAACACCATGGAGGCTCTCCAACAAAAGTCAGAATTAGCAAGTACCGATGTGTCTTACGACAGTGTCAGAATCCATCATGGCTGCTTTGGCGAGGAGCTGTTCTTCCGTGGTCATGCCATTGGAAGGCAGTTGTATGACAAGAATGCTTTCACATGAGCTCCAATTTTCTTAACTCTCCAAAAGAACTTCAGAAGCCTCTAGAGTTTTGAGACATGGCCTCTCTCTCCCTTCTGCTTGGAGACACCTTCCTGGGGGATCTCCACTGCATTCCCCGCCTGTATTCCTCTGTGGAGCCTTGTACCCTCAGGTCCCAGAAATGGGCTGCGTGGGAGCTTCCAGTCAGCCTGGTATCTCGGGACCTTCTCAACTGGGAAATGAGACTGCACAAAACTCTGCGAGGCCCAGGTGTGTTATTTCTCTTTCCCTGACATTGCATAATCACTGCTGACACAGCATTTGGGGAAGATTTAACATCTTGGGCCAGCAATTGCCATCTGGAACTGTCCCCAAATAGCAGGTTGTTTCTGTCCCATCTAACTGGTGAGGGGGCCACCCTAATGACAAGGTCCAGGATCTGGGTTCAGTGGTGGAAGGCTGGGAGCTGGCGTGGGCGTTATCGTTCTTCTTCGCTGAAAATTGCTATGGCTCTTTTCCCCTAACAGCCAGTGTGGGAGAGCCAAACATGAGATACAAGCATCCCCTTGAGCTCCACAGATCTTGTGCCTTGCTCTCATCAGGCATTTCCTTGGAGAACAGCAGTCAGCAGCTCATGAAAGTGAGCCCGGTGCACAGACTTTGCATGGACTCTGCACAGGTTCCATTTCCATCGTGTGCAGACACCTGTATCTTTGGGCTCCACGTGAGCATCTGCCCTCTTCACTCTGATTTTTTTTTAAGAGACGGCGTCTTACTCTGTCACTGAGGCTGGAGTGCAGTGGTGTGATCACAGCTCACTGCAGCCTGAAACTCCTGGGCTCAAGCAATCCTTCTGCCTCAGCCTCCCAAGTAGCTGGTACTACAGGTGCATGCCACCATGCCCACCTAATTTTTTATCTTTTATAGATACAAGTCTCTGTTGCGCAGGCTGGTCTCAAACTCCTGGCCTCAAGTGATCCTCCTGCCTTGGCCTCCCAAAATGCTGAGATTATAGGCATGAGCCACTGTGCCTGGCCTTCACGCTGATTTTTTTAAGAGCCCTACAGTCACCTTCAGATCTTGTCATTTCTCTACCATTGTGTGTGAGACGGGGCATGGAGTGAGCTTGGTCAGGTGTGGGTCAACAGCCTGGAGACTCAGAGCTGCTGGTTTCCCGAGAGCCCCCAAAAGTTATCAGAGTTTCTGAGCTGAGTGTCTGCAGTTGCCAGCCCCCACAATGCTGGGAATACTGGCTTCTTTGTGTTTAGAACTTATTCTGAGAACCTTGATGAGAACACATCAAGCAAGCAGTTCCTCCCAGCCAGGGCTGGAGCAACATGCCAAAAAACATTCTTGTCTATGGGAAAAAGACAACCAGTATTTTGTGCTGTTTGACCAAGATGTTTTTAAATATACACATGCCTCAACAATCCCTGGCCTCAATCGCACTGCTAATTTGTTTAAATCCCTGACACTCAGATGTCAAGACTAGCTTCATCTAGCAGCGTTCTCTTTAAAGGAACCCTGTTTTTTTTTGTTTTCATTTTAATCACTGCCTTCTTCTCTGGGAGGTATTGTGGGCTGGAGAAAGAAGTCAGGTTTGGGAGTCAGACAGATTTAGATTGGAGTCCCAGCTGTCACCAGATCTCTGGGTGATCTTGGCGAACTAACTTCTGAGCTTCTGTGCATTATAGGCATTCAGCATATATTCATTGAATCAAAAATACTTTTCTTGAAAGTTTATGAAGTTGTACAACGCCCAGCAGCCCCCTTTTCTCTATTTCCTTCCTCTCGAAGCAAGCATTGACTATACCTCTTTCCCTAACCCTCAGTTTACCATAGCTTCTTCCAACCTCTCTCTAATCCATTACCTTTTTCTGACCTACCCTGTCTCAAATCTAACTCAGGCCTTTTTGCAAGAGGAAGTTTAAGCCATTGTTTACTCATTAACTCACTTGACCCTTAGAACAATTGTGGGAGGTGTTTATTTCAGAAAGAAAGCTAAAGCACAGGACAGAAAAATAACAAGGTCATAGTGCGAACTAGTAAGTAGCAGAACCGAGAGCATAGGACTCTTATTTTCAAACATTGGTTTGCACTCTAAAATTCACTGCAGTTGCAAATTCGCAACCAAAATGGCTGCCTGGAAAGGGTCTTT